TAGTCCAAGGGATGTGGAGGGCGGTAACTTTGAAGTATAAATTCCGGAATACGTCCCAAGCCGTTTCGATTGAGGAATCTGGGTCTATTGTCCAATCTACTGATGATGCTGAGTGCATGATGTCTGGTATGTTTGCTTTTTAGACGTTAGGTCTGGATTGAGCTGAGGTGTGCTCGTGATCCACAGTTATATGGAAGTCAAAGGTTAAAACTGCATGATCGCTTTTGCCTAGGGGTGGTATGTAATTCAGGTTTGCAACGTCATCCTCATAGTGAGTCAATATAAGATCTAGTAAGGATGATGCAGAGCCCGTGTCGTACCTAGTTGCTTCCTTCACGTGTTGCACTAGGGCACATGTGATAACCGCATCAACTAGTTCCTGTTCGAAGGAATTATCTGACGATTCAGTTCGCAGTTTTCCCCAGTCCACCATAGGTGCATTAAAGTCCCCTAGGATTAGACATCGATCACTTCGTGGCAAAGTGTTGAGACTGCTTAGCAGGACCTCATTTATCTCACAGCTTGGACTGCGATAGATCAAACCAAGCAGCAGCTCTCGGCCCTTGCATTTCAGGCGGCAGCTAACTAATTCATATGTCCCACTCTGATGGGATACACTGTCGATAATGGTGAATGGAATAGCATTCCTAATGAATAGAGCTACTCCCCTTACGGAGAAAAACTCCTGGACCTTTTAATTTGTGTCCATTTTGTAAGATTAAGTCGCGTTTGATTGGGGATTTGAAAACTACTTTCAGCAGTCTAGACTGATTAGATTCGCCAGGCTACCTAGTCTATACACCTTTAGCAAGGTGACTCCGGAGATGTTTTGGGGCATAACTTGGTTGAGTAGCTGTTTTATCAACACAATGTCATGCTTAAAACGAGCTTTCGGTTCTGAGCTCTCACTCCTTGATTCTATGGAAAATGACTGATCTGTCACTGTGATCGGACTTCGGCTTTTCGACCTTTTTGGTGGGGGTAGGATTTCCTTTAACGTCATTTTGTCGTTTTTTCTTCACGGCCGTACACAATCGTCGACGTTGTTTGGAGTAGTAACCACAGTCGCGTCAGGCGTACTATGGGATTCCGGAAGGTTGAGGACGACTTGGGAGGTTAGGTCGTCTTTCGCGCTGGAAACTGACCGAGCCTTGCGGTTTCGGCTTCCAAAAGTCCCCTTCTGGGTACCATTTTGGATACGAGAGACAGAAGAGACTTTTTTCGCGAGTTTCTGGTTGGGACAGACCTCTTTTGAGACTGTCCTTCCTCCTTTGGACGATGTGGGTCAGCACTTTTGGGACTCACTTGTGCTTGACTTACATCAATCTGCGTGTCGACAGATCAAGTTTTGACCGACGTGTCCCGACCGCGCTTGCCGAGACACTTCTTCGCAGCATTGATCATTGAGATGGTCTCGGTTAACAGGCTATTTGCATCCAGACAGCACTGTTGATATAGTGTTATATCTGTGGCCGAGTGGATTATTAGTTGATGGGTGAGGTGATGAGACCGTCAATTAGAGAGCAGCGAATTATCGACTGGAGCAGTGACCCGAAACCCGAACGAGCAGACTAGAGTGCTAACCGATCCTGCGATCTGCCTAACCCAGCCAGTTGAGTCCAGAACACAAATAACAGCCTCGGTAATATGAATCATTATTCACGAGCATACTGGGTTTATATACTAACGAAACAGACCAAATTATACCAAAAAATAGAAAAATAATATTTGTACAATAATTGGCCAATGTGGCTGTGGAAAGGGGGAAAGTAATCAATAATAATAGTTCAAAGGTCAAAATAAGGGTTATGATAAGAGGAACACGAATACGATTAGGTCAGTTATTTAACAACTATACAATAGGGAATAGGCATATTACATTTGTCCATAAATATACCTCAGATTTACCATTCATAATTCGCCAGGGGATATAACACATAGCCATATGCAACCATTCTTGCTGAACCGTTTAAAAGCCGCAGGCGTTAGATTCGTGCAAACTTCATGGCACCATCCTTTGCACTCGTCGCACTGCATGCCGCTGTCAACGGGATATCGACATCCTGGGCGGTGGCAAATGCTTTTGTTGCACCTTCCAGTCATTTAAGGAGGAAAAGTGAGTTTTGACCAAAAAGTAGAAAAACTAAATAGTTAGTTCATAATAGAAAATACAGACCCTGCTAGTCATTTTCAAGGAATCACTACAGACTCCGTTTGCAATGCTCTTCCACATCGCTGAGCAGATTTGTAAAGTGAACGAGATGGAGTCCCTTGCGGGATTTCGCTTCATTTGGTGTTGCAGTCGTCAATGAACATGGAGGACAGAACAATCTGATCGATGTTGCCGGAGCAACAGGTCAGTTGAACTGCCGTTCAAAGGATTCTGCCCATCGTCCTAGTTGTCGATGGATGTTAGTGATTGGCGTCCCGTCCTCCTCACCGATTGTTTCACTCACATCAGACTTCTTGCTGCCAATGACTCGGATGAGTTGGAAGAGGTTCCGGTAGTTATCAGATGCAGTTGCTGCTTCCAGCTCATTAGTACGCTCCAACCACTAGGCTTCTCGGTCCTTACGCAAGCTTTGCTCAATTTCATTTCGTAGCAGCCTTCGTTTATGGTCAAACTCACGGTCACCCGGAGTAGACCGACGGGCTTCGATCAGCTTTAAGGAACCTAAAGAAACCCAGTGCTTATAAGCGGGACGTTTTACGAAGCCGCAAGCTACTTTACTCTCAATTTTCATGGCGTCATGCAGTTGCAACCAATGCTCATCCATACTTTACGGCGGGATGATAGCCAGCCTAAAAACAAGCTCGGTTCGATACTTAGTTGCAACTAAATTGCCGACAACAACCCGGTGATGACGATCAACTCGTTGACCACTGAAAAGTAAGGTAAGGTTGGCGCAGACCAGGGCATAATCAGAGACCAGATAGATGCTTCAAAAGGAGCGGCAGTCTTGTACACAACCACACCAGCGATAGCTGATCGCGATGTGATCAATCTGAGTTCAGGCTAGAGTTGCAAAGGAAGGACGCCTGGTGGCACACCGGCGATGACTGCCGGAAGTTAGTGCTAGCTAGAAACAGATTGTAGTCTGTGCACAGTTGCAGTAGACGGTCCCCGTTATCTGTCCTGCGACCAACAAGTCCCTATCGGCCACCCAGACGACTCTCTTCTGTGCCTAGACACCCGACCTGTGCATTCAAGTCTCCGGATAGTACTACAATATCTTGTTATGTCTTGTAGGTTGAACGCTTTATTCGGATCCTAAGCTATTTCGATAACCCCAGGGCTAGCACTACTCAGCGACTTGAAGACCAGAGAGAAGACACGAGTATCACAGAAGCACGTTACTGCAAGGTTCATTTTTGTACAGAAAATCATATGTATTTATAGATGTTAGCATATGTTAAATCAACATCCTATCTCAGCCAATCCATTTAACGACATATATTGCTACCGACCAATAGTAGCATGCCACGCTGGAACTCTAGAATGTTCTATCGTACTCTGATTGTTTGGGGCTCTTTATGAGCCTCTGGAGGCTCTGTTAGTGTTCTCCGTAAGCCGAATCAACATATCTGTCGAACGCGCTTTCTGGAGAAAAACAGTTAGCTAGTGGTTGAACTCATCCTTAATTGCACCCGGGCTGCAATCTGTCGGAGCATAGGCGATGACAAAAAGACATCATTTCTCACTCTGGTTTCTTCTCTTTGATGGAGCTTTCTAATCTAACAGCACATAACTCACTGTTGATAGGGATCCAATTGATTAGTGCTGCCTGCTTCCAAATGCACTGGTTCTACCGAGAGTGCGGAGGGTTAGCTCTCCCTCTCGAAATGCTCTCACATGACCACGCGCAAACAACCACTGCCAGGGAAGTCCTACTCACTGCCTTCTCGTGGTGGGGGTGTTGTTGACGAAATTGAGAGAACGAAAAGCAAATGTCAGGCACTTTAACCGCGTTAGTGGACAAGAAAGCTCCACCTAAGGGAGTTGGGAAACCCTGAGTCCAAACCAATAATGCATGTGAGCTCCAGTATCCTGAAGGAACAAACGGCATATGAAACAATTGTTTGTCATCGGCTAACATGGGAGTGAATCTCCTTACGTTGCTCCACTGCCTTTTGGACTAGGCCTTTAGATCAAAGGCTCGGGATGTGGCCCCCTAAGAAAACTACCTGTTTCGGTTCGGGCACCCGGGCAGTATCATAGCCCTCACACAAATCAGATGAGACTTTTGTGGCGCCTTTCTATCTGGTGCCAATTGAACCAATATTTATGTGTTCAAATAAATAAATAAAGTTCTGCCTCAGCTCTAGCACTTAGTGCGACTTCAACGCCAGCAAGACCAGACGAAGGTGCCACTAAGCCCCTAGATAAGCGCACGTGAAACAAGCTTTTCGAAGCAACATATGGAGAGCGAATTTGTAGTACTTCACCGAAGTCTAGAATACGGGTCTCGGATAGACATTAAACATCGATATTAAGACTTTCTAAAGACATAGCCAGCCTCAACTGTTGTCTGATCCTCATTAGTGTGCGAACGCTGATGGAAGTCATTTTCAATGGTGTATGTGGTTCTCGAACGACTGGTTCGGTATTCGTGTTCGATGGAAGCATTCACTTTTGATCAGACAGTGACTGGAGATCGTTTAGATAGAACAAAGTTTCCACCATGGACGAGCTGCTGCATAAGTTGAAAAATGGGAGTACATGAAGTGGAAATAGAGGAAGATAAGTGACGTAGTTTATAAAAAGTGAAGATAATAATACTTATAATAATGAAAATGCGTGTTATGAAGTGAATTAGAATTGTCTGAATTCTAATTCCAGCGAGCATAGTATACCATGAAGTAATTGTCATCTCATAAGATTTGTGTGAGGGCTGTGATACTGCCCGAATGCCCAGACTGAAGCAGGTAGTTTTATTCGGGGGCCACATCCCAAGCCTTTGATCTAAAGGCCTAGTCCAAAAGGCAGTGGAGCAACGTAAGGAGATTCACTCCCATGTTAGCCGATGACAAACAATTGGTTCATATGCCGACCTAGACATTGTTCTCAGCATCGTTTCATCTATTAAAGGCTTTACAAGCAAGATTTCTAATTTAGCGCTAACGAGTTTCACACAAGTAGGCGAAGAAACACTTCCATATGTGTGGATATTGTGTACTCATTACATCCATATAAGGAGTAAGGGACATCATATCTTGCAATGGGTGTACATGTTTGTGGTTTTCGACTGTACGTTCGAGAAAAACAGTAGGCTACGAGGTTTCGAAGTCATTAAAAACCGTTGTAGTAGTAGAAACTTACATGCAAAAAAGATGGTTGAAGTATATTTGGTTATTGTTCATTGCTACAAGCTACTATTCGTGACAGGACATATGTGATGAGGTTGTGTAATTGTGGTCTTCGAAATTAGTACTTCTCTAATAATAGACGTGATCATAAAATTGTGGATTTCTCATGTTGTAACTGCCTAATCTTTAAGATTCGACTCGAGCAAGGATGAAGCTTTCATGAAAAATTTCCATCAATTTCTGTCACATGGAAACCCTGACACAAGTTAATACCAATGTACTGGCCTACTTAATACTGTCCAAGTTAACCCGTTTTCAGTAATCATAATATATCGAGATGAATTTCGATTCGATGTGAGGAGCACAGCCTGTTTCCACCTGCTTTAGACAGATCGCTAACAAAGTTACTGATAATTCAATGCAACCCATCAAACTGGTCAAATGGAAGTGATCTGAGTTATCCGTATGTACTTCAGTCTCTACTAATTCAACAGAGATCAACGTAATTTTGTTAGGGAACATAACCCAATAATATCCATAACTTTGTAGCTCCACATTATGCCTGCTCTGTTGCAATCGCATTAGCTTCAAAAATAAGTTATCATTCCTCTTGAAACCGAGTCTTATTTATTTAAGCACATAGATAATGGTACAAAGGGGAATCAGATACATATGCGCCACAAAAGTCTCATCTGATTTGTGTGAGGGCTATGATACTGCCCGGGTGCCCGAACCGAAACAGGTAGTTTTCTTAGGGGGCCACATCCCGAGCCTTTGACCTAAAGGTCTATACCACAAGGCAGTGGAGCAACGTAAGGAGATTCACTCCCATGTTAGCCGGTGACCAACAATTGTTTCATATGCCGTTTGTTCCTTCAGGATACTGGAGCTCACATGCATTATTGGTTTGGACTCAGGGTTTCCCAACTCCCTTAGGTGGAGCTTTCTTGTCCACTAACGCGGTTAAAGTGCCTGACATTTGCTTTTCGTTCTCTCAATTTCGTCAACAACACCCCCACCACGAGAAGGCAGTGAGTAGGACTTCCCTGGCAGTGGTTGTTTGCGCGTGGTCATGTGAGAGCATTTCGAGAGCGAGAGCTAACTCTCCCCAGTCTGTGCAGTAACAGGGCATTTGGGGGCCTTACTTATCTATGCCATGAGCGGTATGTAAGAAACAATTTTCCCCTTCAATTTACAACTGAAAGCATGTGTCTTGAACATAATCCAAGGTGCGAAGGATGACTTTCAACCATTATACCATAAGCTCATATACCGATCCAGTTTAATTATTTAGAGCAAGAGAGTAGAATCATCAACCCAGCTCAAAGCTGGGTCAGTTACGTCCCTGTTATCTGTGCTATTTCTGGATAATTTTCATATGTTTATATAATCATGCAAACTAAGTCTTTTTAAGACGGATTTTTCTCAACCAATTTCTTAACATAACTTATTGGTGTCTTCTTTAGGTTCGTGTGAATAATCATGTAAGTTTCCTCGAAGCTGCAGGTTTCGTTTAAGATGGGGGAAATGGTCTGTGGATATCATAAATAGATGGATCGTCCTATTTTCAAGTTAAGCTATCGGCTTGTTTTTCTTGTCTTAATCACATTCGGTAGCTGTTTGGATTCAAATTCACCCACCCCCTCATGTCTAAGTATGTCAGGTACGGTAATCAACTTTATTATAATTGCATTCCGTAGAACGATCGAAATGGAATCGATCTTTTCACTTTAACAACCAGGAGCTTCGTCTAAAGTTGGAAGTCACAAACCGATCATCCCATTGGATTGTTAACTACATATTTGAGATATTGGCACGTGAAAGACTTGGCTATCAGTTTATCGAATTTGTCAAACAGGATACGGATCATCCTAGACTAGCAATTAGTAGATTAGATTGTAAAGATTCTAAGTAAGTGAAAAATTATGTGATCAAGCTTTAGTTTTTCATTTTGTTTTCTATACGAATTCACCGTAAACGGTCATAGTGAGATTGTGCGTAACTCAGATTTTAGAGCTAAATAGATTTATGTCTGATGAGTGTGAACATCGCATGTGCTCAGGATTGTGCTAAATAAATGTATCATCATGAGATTAAGTTTTAACATTGTATGTTTTTTTCACTAAAACCTAAACAACATTCACTAGCTTGTTTCCCAACCGACTTATGTTACTATGCACATAAGGAGTGTAACCATATATATTGGGATACATGTGGTGGAAGAACGTAAAGATGCCACTTTCTGGCGTAATTCACCAGAAGAATATTTGAGTAGTTGGGATGTTTTGATAGTAATTGGTTGGCACAAAACGTACCCGGTTTTTGATAGTGGACCTGCCCAAGCACTAGCAAACTGCACGATAGACATAAATGTTGAGGGTCTTTAAGTGCCACGTGGCAAGGTCATATGGTACTTTACAATACTGTATTCATACTTCATGGCTAAATGATGTGTAGCTCGAGATACCTAGCGACCAGAATTTACAACCTGTTGTTTTAATTGTGGAATGTTAACATTGTTCTTATTTTTTATTAGTTGGTACTTGTTGACGTTTGTACATTAGAATTTCATGTAAATCCACTTTTTACACAGCTTGTTTAGTCCAGATACCTTCTTGGCGATGTTCTCCAATTACAAGAATATTACATGGGCATAGGAACGCATCAAGAGAACAGTTGTGTGTTGTGCAGGTTTACAAGTTTAAATTTCACTTCCCACGGTGCTTACACCCTGATAGTATTGTAAATCCATTAGCAAAGTGAAGTTCAAATTCATTATCATTCATATCTATGCGAATCTTTTGGAACGCGTTACAAAATCAAACATCGTTTATTTAAATATTACAGACAACTATTAGTTGCCGAAGTTCCTTTTGGACTTAGTACTTTGAAAGGCTAACTAAATAACAAACTGTATGAGTCTGTTCAATTTTTCAAGCTTCCTGTAAAGAGGATTATCAGATTATTGTGTTAGTAGTCAGTTGGATACATGTTTGCGTGCCTCTCGGTACAAATGTTGTGTTTATATAAATGAAATCAGGTGTGAGAACTTTGTTTCTAGGCTATCTGAATATGTGAAAAGCTTTCGTCATATACTTGTTGTGTGAACTCATATAAATGGTTAACAGAAATGTAATTCCCGTTTGGTTTAGCACAACCGTGATGACAATTTCCATATGATCCGTTGCTGATGATTAGCATTGTCCTATGATTACACACGAACGGATTTTTTGCATCTTTTCAAATCAATTATCCTTGATGCTTTGTATCCTAGTTTTTAATTATAAATGCGAACTGGTTTGTTTTGTACGTGAATACCATTGAATTGTTATTTTCAGCTGTTACAAATTACCGGATGTCCACATAAATCTTGAATTATGGCTGTCTTTGGGAACGATAACTAGTTCTTGGGTTCCACATAATAGAGTGATCGATAATGGACCATTAGGTCCAACTAACCGATGGGCTATTTCTTCCAGGGAAGAGTTTATGTCACAGGTTTCGGCATTGACAGAGGTTTGTTGTGTATTTATTTCACCTTTTACGTCTTGGATTTAATGTGGTCTTTCACAGCAACTAAATGTTTAAGACGTAATAACGTGATTTAATACTACTTTCGATTGGGTGTAACTTGAGCTAATTGGAACACCTTTGATATCTTTGTATGATTATTTCGTCAAACTATATCTAAATCAGAACGTTTTGACAGTGATGTATCAGAATTATCTCTGTTATTCAATCCAATTATTTTGCATTCGTGTGTGGAACTTGTAGCTTACTTCACCGTTCGTACTGTGATTCAGGCTGAACAGCAGACAAGTATGGCGACAACTCCAGAAAGTCTCAAGAATTACTCGTATCTTGGAAATCCGTATTTAAGATCCTAGTGAATCACTGCAGATTCATTCCGTCTGTCTATTCTTAAATTGTCCCATATGAGCCTTCTCAAGGCCCTGTCAGTCAGTCACAGCGTAGAACTTCGTACGTACGTACATCAGTTCGAGCTGCCATACCACATTAGCACGGAGATGAAGTTGTCAATTCAAATCCCATAGTGGTAGAAGTAGTAAGAGTGTAAGCAGTAATCCGAAAGATTAGGGTTTGAAGATGTTATTCAAGGAGTATAATACGGTGAAATAAATTTAGAAAGAGAAAAAGGATATGGACATAAGGAATTCAGAGAATTAGAATTTGGTAGAACACAAAGAGTGGATGCACCTTCGCCATTGCAAACGATTTGAGCCATGTCATTCAAGGTCTCTAACCATCGGTTGCTATCATCTCGCGGATACCAACCAAGTAGTCTACACCTAACAACATGACTCAGTCCACTGGTCAGTGACTTCGTGGATTTATGCCACGTTCTGGTCTGACCGCCTCTAGCTTTCTTCCAACCTACTCCTACACTATGAAACACTGAACTTCGGGGCAGTCGGTGGTTGGGCATACGTAACACGTGTCCCAGCCATCTCAACTGATGAAGTTTCACTACTTCATCAATCGATTTGCCATCCTTACCTAGTACCCGTTTCCTAACAACTGCATTACTTACTCGGTGGTCCAAGGATATGCGAGCAATGCTTCGAAGACACCAATGATCGAACACTATTAGCCTACGAATATCCTCTATTCTTATCGGCCATGTTTCACTGCTATAAAGTAGGACGGGCCCTGTAGACCCACCAACCAATCTCCCTAAAATCATCTGATTTGTGTGAGGGCTATGATACTGCCCGGGTGCCCAAACCGAAACAGGTAGTTTTCTTAGGGGGCCACATCCCGAGCCTTTGACCTAAAGGTCTATACCACAAGGCAGTGGAGCAACGTAAGGAGATTCACTCCCATGTTAGCCGGTGACCAACAATTGTTTCATATGCCGTTTGTTCCTTCAGGATACTGGAGCTCACATGCATTATTGGTTTGGACTCAGGGTTTTCCAACTCCCTTAGGTGGAGCTTTCTTGTCCACTAACGCGGTTAAAGTGCCTGACATTTGCTTTTCGTTCTCTCAATTTCGTCAACAACACCCCCACCACGAGAAGGCAGTGAGTAAGACTTCCCTGGCAGTGGTTGTTTGCGCGTGGTCATGTGAGAGCATTTCGAGAGCGAGAGCTAACTCTCCCCAGTCTGTGCAGTAACAGGGCGTTTGGGGGCTGGGTGATCCAAAGTTGTGGCTTGCCTTGTAGTGGAGTCTGAGGGTTCTCACATAGTTTACTATTCATCTCCAGCGTCTTCTGACTTTCTCGTGGACCGGCATCACGCTTTTTCTCTGCCACAGTATGTTATTGCTGGCGGCCTCCGGCTAATAGATCTGAAGTATCTTGTATATACAGTTGTTTATGAATATTTGTACTCTCTGTGGTGGCTGTGGTGATGGTCCTCCAAGCTTTAGTCCGTACAATGGAAACAATTAAAAGTTAGTGTTGGAAACTCTAACTTTGGGTCTTACTTTTACTGTTGTGTATGTTGAGGCCTACTTCCGTGGAGACCGCTGCGAAACTGACTGTGTATGCGATAGCAGGACTAAATCATTTACAAAGTCGAAGTCGTCCGATCGCGTCTAAGTTGTCCATTGTATTCCGTCGTTTTCCGAGATATGAAGGTCTTAATGATCCGGCGAACAATTAGCAGTAAAAGAAAAGGCCACTGTAGATATCCCTGTCTGATTTCAGTCTTTCTTTGGGATGCATTTGTGGACTGCTCTGCATGCAACACTTATCCACTCTAGGAGTTCCGCATGCTAGTGAATATCTGCTCAGTCTTTGATTCTTGTTCTGATCATTTTGGTAAGTACGGACTATCTCGTCCGAAAATGCGCTATAACCGCGATTATTGGACGGCAGTGTTGCGTGGCATGGCTCAAGATCAGTCACAATGGCATTGATTTGTTCATTCTTTGTCTTATTCTAGACATTGATTCCCCGACCGTTGCTGCTACCTTGACGTGGTGGTCGGACTTGCCTATCGTGATGATCCAATCGAGCTATGCTGGCTGGAACAATCGTTCCTCGAGGTCCAACCATGCCAGACAGGTCGGTTGAAGAGCGGTGAGACTAAAAGCAGCAAACCCAAGGTCCGAAGGCGAAGTCGTACTGTCGACTGTACAGAGGTGTGACGGCAGTAAGGTGTTTTCTTCAGACAACCAGCATGACAGCGATGCTACCTTCCCACAAGGGGGGGGGGTTAGAAAAGGTCGACCCTAAAAATGCACACCTCGCCTTATCCCACGGATATCCGTCTCCGGCGGTAAGGTTTTTTTTGAAGAACGGAGCTAACACAAAAACTACCCACAAAAAGGTCGTGTGTGACCGACCTCAAGCAGTTGTCCCTTGGGCACTGCGGTCACGCTCTCAGGACATTAAGACCACTTCTAACCCAATTTCCTTTTCAGGTACCCCCAGGAGAACCCTTCCACGGTGTGGGCAACCGGGAAGTGATAACTGCCCTCATACCTCTAACAGCACTCAAGACCACCGTATTCATAATCAATCTCCTTCAATTCCTACTATTCCTTCTACCTTGACTTTCAACGCTAAACTTCCTGTTCCGGTTTCCTCCTCAAGTGTCACCATGGCCAACGATTCTAGTGCGCGGAACGCTGTCCCAGGTCTACTTAAACCTCGCTCCAAACTACACATTGGAGCCTTCAACGTACGTACCCTATGCCAAATCGGTCAACAGGCCTCCTTAGCTAAAACCCTAGAATCTCGTACCATTGATGTATGCTGTGTCTCCGAAACACGCATACAGGATCCCAGTGTGGTCATTCACTTGACCTCACCTCGCCAAAATGGACAGCCAACGAAATACACCCTCCGTGTATCTGGCGACTCGTTGGCTAGTTCTCGCTGACTTGCAGGTGTAGGCATAGCACTAAGTACAAGGGCAGAACAGGCACTATTATAATGGATCCCCGTTAACAGTCGCCTGTGTGCTGTCCGGCTGAATGGCTCCGTAAGAACTCGGAAGGATAGGGACACACGTCGTTGCCTTTTCGTCGTTTCTGCCTACGCTCCCACCGACTGCAGTCATGATGAAATGAAAGATGACTTTTACAGAAAGCTCTCTGAGCTTCTTCAGAAAGCTAAGCGCTCAGACATAGTACTCATAGCGGGTGACTTTAATGCCCAGGTAGGCAGCTTGAATCAAACAGAAAGACATTTAGGTGGGTGTTTTAGTATTCCGGCTCAACGAACCGATAATGGTGATCGTCTGTTGCAACTATGCTCAGACAATCGTTTATTTTTAGCAAGCACTAATTTTAAACATAAGGAGAGACATCGTCTAACATGGCGACCACCTGCACCAAACCAACGATGGACTCAAATAGACCATATTGCCATCAGTCATCGTTGGAGAGGCTCGACAGAAGATTGTCGCTCGTATTGGAATACTTGTTTAGACTCTAATCACGCTTTAATACGAGCGCGCATTTGTCTGCGCCTCAATGGACGCAGGAAAAGTACACTAAGAAGACCGATTAGGATTGAACTGGAGGACGAGAAAGCCAAATGCGAATTCCAGAAACAACTGAGTTCACATCTAGGCAGTTCTGTAAACAAGACTGACACAGATGCTGCTTGAAAAGACATACGAACAGCTGTGGAAACAGCAGTTACATCTATTAGTAATTTAAACCATAGGGTTACAAAAACCAATGGATTTCTTCTAAGTCGATTTCACTGATGGATTCGCATAAACTCATCTCATCAGGCTCTGAATACGACGAAGAGCATAAACAAATCAGATCTAGGTTAACCAAAAGTCTAAGGAACGATCGTGAGCAGTGGTGCGCAACGAAATCAAAAGAGATGGAAAAGGTAGCGACCGTAGGCAACACCAGGCAACTATTCAGACTAATAAAAGAAACCGGAATTAAAAAGGTCAAGTGTAAGCGGAAAAAGACGAAATCCTTATTCGCTCTCAGTCCAGACGTTTAGAACGATGGGCGGAACATTTTAAGGAGCAGTTTAGCTGGCCTTCAGCTACTGCACAACTACCTACTATTCCCAGAAAACCTGAATGGAACATTGAAGTAGGCCCCCCGACCCTACTTGAAGTTCAAAATGCTATAGGTAATCTGAAACGAGGAAGAGCAGCTGGTCCAGATGGATTGGCTCCAGAGGTCTTTAAATATGGTGGTCCGATTTTAGCGATTAGGTTGACTAATATTCTGGCTAAAATCTGGGAGACGGATGTAATCCCATCCGACTGGTCACAATCACTGATTGTCCCAATATATAAAAAGGGGTCAAAATCATCCTGCGATAACCATAGAGGGATTAGTCTGACCAACATAGCATCTAAAATACTAGCCTCAATAATTATCGGGCGCCTAACTAAGACTCGTGAACTGCAAACACGAGAAAATCAGGCTGGCTTCAGACCTGGTCGTGGCTGTATCGACCACATATTCACCATTCGTCAAGTTTTAGAGCACAGACACGCTTATCGGCGTCCGACAATGATAGTTTTTCTTGACTTGAAAGCAGCATTTGACTCTGTAGACCGAGAGGTTCTGTGGCAGTGTCTGTCATTGAAAGGTGTACCTGAGAAGTACATAAACCTTGTGAAGACTCTTTACTCGAACACTACCAGTCGAGTGAGAGCTTATGGCGAACTGTCATATGATTTTACAACCTCAAGTGGTGTCCGTCAAGGCTGTCCACTATACCCATTTTTGTTTAACTTCATTATAGACCTGTTGCTGGAAATAACACTCTCTTCGACTGAATTTACAGGAATTGATCTCCTACCAGGGGACCACTAAGCGACTTAGAATACGCAGATGACATAGCCCTGTTTGGTGAAGACGCTGGCAAAATGCAGAGTCTTCTGTTGGAACTCAGTAATAATGCCAGGATGTTTGGGATGCGTTTCTCTCCATCCAAATGTAAATTGTTACTCCAGGACTAGCCTGCATCAACACCTGAACTAAGGATAGGGAGTGAAGTAGTCGAACGCGTTGACAACTTCACTTATCTTGGAAGTCTGATCAGCCCTAATGGGTTGGTGTCTGACGAAATCTCAGCACGGATTCGAAAAGCTCGTTTGGCTTTTGCCAACTTACGTCACCTATGGCGAAGACGAGATATCCGTCTATCAATTAAAGGACGAGTATACTGCGCAGCAGTTCACTCTGTTCTACTTTACGGTTGTGAAACATGGCCATTAAGAGTAGAAGATACTCGTAGGTTACTAGTATTTGACCACAGATGTCTTAGAAATATTGCACGCATCTGCTGGGATCACCGGGTAAGCAATAGTGAGGTTAGATGCAGGGTATTAGGGAATGATGGTAAATCAGTTGATGAGGTGATGAATCTTCATCGACTGAGATGGTTGGGCCATGTGTTACGTATGCCTGAACACCGATTACCACGACGCGCTATGATGACTAGTGTAGGGGATTGTTGGAAGAGAGTTAGGGGCGGCCAAACCAAAACATGGCATCAGTGTTTGAAGTCACTAACTTCTAGTCTGAGCCATGTTGGTAGATGCAGATTACTTGGTTGGGGTCCGCGTGACTATCGTAACCAATGGTTGGAGACTCTAGGTGACATGGCTCAGAATCGATCACAATGGCGTAGGTGTATACACTCTTTATCTTCCTTTAGACCTTGAGACTAAAATTGCTTCATATCTCTCTTCCTTCCTGTACTATATCCTTATATACAACCTATAAATTATAAACTACTACCACCACTAAATTAATTACTTCTATGAACCCGGTGTTCATCTTGTTGTGCTAACGAGGTATGGCAACTTGGACCGATGCATAAATGTGCCTGGTCCTACGTTGTAGCTGACTGACTGACTGACATTGATTCTCAGTATCCCTTTCCCCGTATCATTTTTTGATATTTCGTCTTGTGCCGTATTCAGTGTTTTTACTTCATTATTCTTGCTAGTACAGTTGTTTTGACTTCGTCACTAGTTTCGCTTTGTCGTGCTAATGTTATATGATAACCTACTGTCGATCGAGTGTTAGGATTTTTCTTATTACGACCCAGCTACTCATATTGCTTATTATTCTTTGACACTACTTCACTTGACAAGTCCCCGAACCAGAACACGGTTGAACAGAAACGCAATTTTATAACAAGTTTGAATGGAAATATGAATCACAATAAGAAAAACAGTATATTTGTAATTTTTACATATGAATATTCTAGAGTCTCATCCGGGGATCCTCTAGCGCTGATTGGTTAGAAAATAGCCAACCAGCGTGTCCTAACACAATTCCGTACGGGACGCTTTAATCTAATTTATATCCCGTTAGCACAGGCTTGACGTTCATAATAAGTGACAAACCTAAATGAATTATTGTAAAAAAGTTGTTTCGTGTGCCTTATCATTCAAATGCCAAACTATCGTGTTCTGCTGTAGCTGTCTACACCATAAAACTTGTAAATATTCATTAGATGTATTTAGACGACTCCATGAAAAAAGGTGAGTAAAGCCTCCGCAAGTTTCACCAAACCTTCCGTTTATAAATATTGAATTTCACTGGGCTCCGTGCAACTTATTACTGGTTAGTCCGTCCCGAAACTATGCTTAAATTCTTCATATATACAATGATAGTAGTATTTCAGTGTAAATATCTTTAAAGCGTGGCTCTTGTATAGAAGTGTCAAAATGAGTTATTCGTATAGTATACAAATACAGTGTAAACATGATAAGTCAACTAATGAGACTTGTTTGATCATATGTTACACATGTCTGTCTGTTACCTACATTGATACGCAATGTCAGCTAACGTAAGAGTAGGTTGAAAAAAAAATGCTGAGATGAAGCAGACCAAGACATTAAACTGGTGTATACAATCGGAAGGCAAATGTCTTCAGTTCTTAGGCGTACCACGTTGAAGACAAAGATTTGTGTGACAGTGCTGTCAGTTTGAGAAATCAGAGAACGCTGAACGTACTATATTTACTTGAAAACAGATCGCCATGCTGCCTACTCGCGTATTTTTTGTCCTTAAATTCTCAAATAATGTGCTATTAAGTTCAATTTTCAAACGGTTATTAAGACTTAAATGAATTAAAATGTGATTGGATGTTAATGATTAGTGATCACTCCTGTATAAAATGATCTAGTAGTTTAATATCCATGACATTGCCGTCTATACAGCTTTATGCTAATTTTTAGCCTTCGGTATGTAAAATTTCTAGTTTTGCTTCGAACTATAGAGATATTTTTATTTTGTTATCCATTCATCTAGATAACTTTTACGTACCGTGCATTTTCCAGTTAAGTTTCTTTACAAAAAGCTTAGTTAAGAATAATACATCAATTTTTTTGCAGACACAGTCTTACTGTCGTTATAAACATGGACCAACTCATTCTCAAATTCCGTTATCACAAACTGCAGTTCAATCAGAATGTGATCTGGATATATGCTATGCTTCCGAATTCCGCAATGGTAAGATTATTTCTCTTTCAGTACTGTAGTATTTATTAAACTTTATTATAGATCGATATTCTTCGTTCTTCCGAGTAAATACATGGACAGGCAATCATAAACCAACCTACTTTTGTTACTCACTACTAATTCGTAATCAAATTAAGTCCCATCAGTTGTAAACAGTATTTCGAAAAGACCACTAACTCTCTTAGTTTTACTACCACTTGGTAAAGTAATACCAGTGGTGCGCTTCATAATTGTTCCCCTGAAAGATAGCTCTATATCTTATTGACACCGCAGTTGTTGTATGTTGGTGAACATCGAGCTTTATTTCTGATAAGACGTGTTTCTTATCAAGCTTACCAAGCTTAAATCGACGTCTATTACGAGAAAAACTTTCGATATGATCTGTTATCAAACTGAGCTGTAAAAAGATTAGTTATGTAGAAATATTTTGCAATTCTCCAGGTCCAGTTGCGTTTTGAGAATCGACTTTGAATATTTTAGACTGCTTGAATTTAAGCAACAGCGTTAAACTACTGATCTGAGTACATAAGTAGTAAGCTCATCCGACATTTGTGGTATGTCTACTAAAACCAAACTAATATAAACAGAAGCAATAAATATTATGGCAGTTTTTGATGCCTTAATTCGAAAGCTTGCACAGCAAAACATTGGAGCTGTGACTCAGTAGCTAATATTATGTCTCATGACCACTGACCAAAATCACCTAACAAGCCATCAATCATAATCCTGATTCTAATTCGTTCTATTATTTACCCTATAGCTTAGTGTGACTTGGCCAATTACACACCCGGCCAGCACCATCGACCTTGGGCTGGTAGTCCACTGTTCGCTCGCTCTTGTGTCTGGCATTTATGTAGCTATATTTCAAACGGACGTTATATATATACAGACCCAATGGACTGCATCACACCATGAAATGAATATTAATAATTATACATGAATAAACCAAGTGGTTGTCGATAGAGGAGATTAAATAACGAATAAATTAGGAATAGTAAATCGCATGACAATAGTTCTTGAGTCAAACAAAAGCTTGTGATGAATGGGATTTGTATTATTATCAGTTCGGCTGTATCTGTTCTTAATCTTGAGATTAACATTATTTCCGATACTAAAGTGATTTGTTTGTAATCTTCAATATCTTGTGAAAAGAATTTTATCGTTGATGTTGATGTACGTTTTACGACCATCGGACACCAGGAAATTCCTCAGTCTCGTGACCCTGAAATCACTATGGTTAAGATAATTTTAACATCCAAAACTTATCTTAAAATATTTCGTAAGGTTCGGTATGATCTTTTTTTATTTCTAAGTCCTAACATAATAATTTTAATTATATTTCCATATCATTTATTTGCTAGAGTTCATCCGTTACTTTACTGGATCGGAAATTTTATCTAAAGAGTTTGCACACTTTCCAAACTTACACTCTTCACCTCCTGTCATGTCAATCATTAATTGGTATCCACATGGGCTTGGCTCTTTTCCTTTACCTTCGGGACTACACTTTTTGGGGAAGAAAAACAATTTAAACTCAACAGTAATTAAAACTGCGCTTGATAAGATTTATCACTGTAGTCGACAATATTCAGGCACTTTGTCCCACATTCAGAATTCAAAGAAGTCTTCATTTTGCCAGTTTGAGTCACAACAAGCTACAAAATTATCATGGGCCAAGCTAAAGAGCACTGTGCCTCTCATTTATCAATTAATTGACCGGATGCATTTTTCTCAGTCGGAGTATGAAGACCTACTGAAATCAGTAAGTGTTTTACTTAGTAGACTAAATTTTGCTAGGCGAACTTTAAAAAGCATATCTTCACTTTTCCTTTAATCAATATTTCCAGGCTAACCACTTGGATCCAAACTCTGGCCAGGATCTACAGTCTCAATATAGAGATATTGCTTGCAAATGGCTTCGCTTGTCTCCGACTCGTTGGGTTTCGTGGACCAAAGGTTGGAATAAAAAGCTAAATCTTACGGTTGCTGGACTTTTCGCTTTCTATGGGAAATGGGTAGTTTCGAATTTAGACCATGGTAAGACGTTCTTCATCATACTCAGTCTTTTTCCATCTCAGTCGTGTTTTATTAAATCACTGTCAGGTCACACCTTAAAGGCGAAGTTGATGCATTTAAACCTACAAATTATCACTGATGTACACGATTTTATACAAAATATCTCTGATTATGATTAATAAGTTTCAGTTAAATCAACTTAATAACAACTGTCAATAGAATAGACTACTTAACTTTCACTTAAGAAGTTTTTATTTGGTAGTTTTTTGTAAACATAGTTGACAAGAATTACATGTGGAGCTTTATTTTGACGTTGTAATCGAATGTTAAGGAAAATAATGTCTTCCAGGTTTAGGCACCAACGTGTATTACGTATGTATTTCCGGCGCTACCTAGTTCACTCCGACGAAAGTGGGTTTTAATCTTATCGCTTGATAGTATAGGAAATATAGTATAGACAGATCAGTCATATCGTTGGTTATGATTCAAGTTAAATGTTATGGTTTTTAACAACTTTTCCGATATTTCTTTAGCATTATTTCCCTGTTTCTTGACATTTCTATTGCCAAATATTATGAAGACAGTTAATGTGAATACAAAATCTTTAATATAGTATTACTTTCGGTTTAAATGCTATTAATCAGCACAGATGATACAGTATTATTGGAGATTCACATATAAATGTCGTATTCTTTATAATTGTACGACTCGTTTTTCTCAGTAGAGGCAATATCTTGAAATTTGAACAAGCAATTAGTGTCCGCTTATCATTTTTTTGATATATTCAAGGATATCAAATGTTGTTTCGACCATTCTCATTTTTGTCCATTATTCTTCATCGTTTATATAATTTACTGACTGTCACAGTGGTCTTAATTTAACGTCTTAATAGACTGTCTCAAACTTGTATTCTCCAGATATTTCAGTGTGGTTGTATATTTTGCCATGAAATTGTTTTTACCAATATTTCTCACCAAGATTGAAAAGGTTTTAAATGCAGTCAGTGTAAAACCAGATGAATAGCTTGTGCTCTTACCTATATGGCTTTCTTCAAAGTGGACCTTTTGTATAATATTTTTTCTTGGGAGGTGTTCGTCCAGGAGAGTGATATTTTGTCTCATTGGTGGATTAAGCGTACTGATTTGACATCTTAATAAATAACTGTATCTTGTTACTTCATAATGTAAGTAATAAGCTTTATCGTTATTATCATCATCATCCTGATTACTGAAATAATGTAACCGGTTTCAGCGTGTTAGTACTCCGACGAAGCTTATTGCAATTATCATTTTCTATGTAATATGGCAATTGCGTTATTATTAAACAAAATGATGATCCACTATTTAAAATTGGTTGACATGTTGAGTTACAAACACAGTACTTCATACCGCTACAAATTTGGAATTTAATTTGTTCCAGATTATATTTTTGAAAATTAACTATTATAGCGAAGTGTCGGTTAAAATTATTACACATGTATACTTCTGTTAGTGAGTTTAAGCGAATCTTTAACTATGAATAATCACCACACTTATTAGACTTTGAAGTTTTAAATCCTACTTCTTGTTGGTTAATAATTGCAAAATCACTGCTTACACCAAGTTGTATATTGTAGTGAATGGAGCAAATGTCCTAAGAAATTCCTCCACAGATTAACATGCATCGGTCCAAGTTGCCATGCCTCGTTAGCACAAGAAGATGAGTCAGTCAGTCAGCTACAACGTAGGACCAGGCACATTAATGCATCGGTCCAAGTTGCCATACCTCGTTAGCACAACAAGATGAACACCGGGTTCATAGAAGTAATTAATTTAGTGGTGGTAGTAGTTTATAATTTATAGGTTGTATATAAGGATATAGTACAGGAAGGAAGAGAGATATGAAGCAATTTTAGTCTCAAGGTCTAAAGGAAGATAAAGAGTGTATACACCTACGCCATTGTGATCGATTCTGAGCCATGTCACCTAGAGTCTCCAACCATTGGTTACGATAGTCACGCGGACCCCAACCAAGTAATCTGCATCTACCAACATGGCTCAGACTAGAAGTTAGTGACTTCAAACACTGATGCCATGTTTTGGTTTGGCCGCCCCTAACTCTCTTCCAACAATCCCCTACACTAGTCATCATAGCGCGTCGTGGTAATCGGTGTTCAGGCATACGTAACACATGGCCCAACCATCTCAGTCGATGAAGATTCATCACCTCATCAACTGATTTACCATCATTCCCTAATACCCTGCATCTAACCTCACTATTGCTTACCCGGTGATCCCAGCAGATGCGTGCAATATTTCTAAGACATCTGTGGTCAAATACTAGTAACCTACGAGTATCTTCTACTCTTAATGGCCATGTTTCACAACCGTAAAGTAGAACAGAGTGAACTGCTGCGCAGTATACTCGTCCTTTAATTGATAGACGGATATCTCGTCTTCGCCATAGGTGACGTAAGTTGGCAAAAGCCAAACGAGCTTTTCGAATCCGTGCTGAGATTTCGTCAGACACCAACCCATTAGGGCTGATCAGACTTCCAAGATAAGTGAAGTTGTCAACGCGTTCGACTACTTCACTCCCTATCCTTAGTTCAGGTGTTGATGCAGGCTAGTCCTGGAGTAACAATTTACATTTGGATGGAGAGAAACGCATCCCAAACATCCTGGCATTATTACTGAGTTCCAACAGAAGACTCTGCATTTTGCCAGCGTCTTCACCAAACAGGGCTATGTCATCTGCGTATTCTAAGTCGCTTAGTGGTCCCCTGGTAGGAGATCAATTCCTGTAAATTCAGTCGAAGAGAGTGTTATTTCCAGCAACAGGTCTATAATGAAGTTAAACAAAAATGGGTATAGTGGACAGCCTTGACGGACACCACTTGAGGTTGTAAAATCATATGACAGTTCGCCATAAGCTCTCACTCGACTGGTAGTGTTCGAGTAAAGAGTCTTCACAAGGTTTATGTACTTCTCAGGTACACCTTTCAATGACAGACACTGCCACAGAACCTCTCGGTCTACAGAGTCAAATGCTGCTTTCAAGTCAAGAAAAACTATCATTGTCGGACGCCGATAAGCGTGTCTGTGCTCTAAAACTTGACGAATGGTGAATATGTGGTCGATACAGCCACGACCAGGTCTGAAGCCAGCCTGATTTTCTCGTGTTTGCAGTTCACGAGTCTTAGTTAGGCGCCCGATAATTATTGAGGCTAGTATTTTAGATGCTATGTTGGTCAGACTAATCCCTCTATGGTTATCGCAGGATGATTTTGACCCCTTTTTATATATTGGGACAATCAGTGATTGTGACCAGTCGGATGGGATTACATCCGTCTCCCAGATTTTAGCCAGAATATTAGTCAACCTAATCGCTAAAATCGGACCACCATATTTAAAGACCTCTGGAGCCAATCCATCTGGACCAGCTGCTCTTCCTCGTTTCAGATTAGTTATAGCTTTTTGAAATTCATTTAGAGTCGGGGGACCTACTTCAATGTTCCATTCAGGTTTTCTGGGAATAGTAGGTAGTTGTACAGTAGCTGAAAGCCAGCTGAACTGCTCCTTAAAGTGTTCCGCCCATCGTTCTAAACGTCTGAACTGAGAGCGAATAAGGATTTCGTCTTTTTCCGCTTACATTTGACTTCTTAATTCCGGTTTCTTTTATTAGTCTGAATAGTTGCCTGGTGTTGCCTACGGTCGCTACCTTTTCCATCTCTTTTGATTTCGTTGCGCACCACTGCTCACGATCGTTCCTTAGACTTTTGGTTAACCTAGATCTGATTTGTTTATGCTCTTCGTCGTATTCAGAGCCTGATGAGATGAGTTTATGCGAATCCATCAGTGAAATCGACTTAGAAGAAATCCATTGGTTTTTGTAACCCTATGGTTTAAATTACTAATAGATGTTACTGCTGTTTTCACAACTGTTCGTATGTCTTTCCAAGCCGCATCTGGGTCGGTCTCGTTTACAGGACTGCCTAGATGTTATCTCGGTTTTTCCTGAAATTAACATTTAGATTTCTCGTGCTCCAGTTCAATCCCAATGGGTCTTCTTAGTGTAGTTTTCCTGCGTCCAGTGAGGCGCAAACAAATGCGTGCTCGTATTAAAACGTGATCAGAGTCTAAACAAGTATTCCAATACGAGCGATAATCTTCTATCGAGCCTCTCCAACGATGTGCAAAGTATACACGTTTCATCACAGAGTGACATTTTCAATCTACAAATTCATGATCATTCCTTAATAATGATATTATGTCTTGCCGAATCATAAATTTATTTGATCAACCTTTGGTATTCAGATTACTCATTAGATTTCCATATTTTTCCATTATCTTTCATAGTTGCTGAACAAGCTATTAATTTTGTCAATCATAATCCTGATTACTTTAGCAATACTGAATATGCATTGACTCTGGACGTTCGTAATCTTACCTGTTCTCAGGACGTTGTACTGAATGATTACTTTGATTTACTGACAGCTTCAAAAAATAGAAAGATTATTGGAGTGATCGGCAAGTAGATTTTTTTCCGTTTAATTTTATGGGAAATATACATTTAATTACCTATTTGTCGTCACATAGTTTCATATGGTTCAGTTTCTCCTTTCATTTTTATCGGCTTGGCAGCAACTAATAATGCTTCTATTAAACACTTTTGTGCTTTGAGTTACATAAAATATCATGAAGTACTGCTTGTTAGCTTTTTATTATTGCTAACCACACTTTATGATCTGTACGTTTCCAGATTACAAGACGTCATTAGTCTTTTTCATTAAAATAGGCATATTAGAATGTTTGAACGGTATTTTCAAATGTTGTGGTATTTACAAATAAACAACCTCAGTAAAGTAGTGTAACTGACTATTACAGTGGTTCAAGTTGTTACATTCTCTATCAATACAAAACGGGAGATATTGCAAACAAACAGGACACAATTAAAAGGTAAATAAATAAAATTAATATGTTCAGATAGAATAGAGTAGAGTAAATAGGTCTGTTCCATTGTGACTGATTACTTTATTTCACCTATATGAAGTACTATGTTTTTCGGAACTCGTTTCTAAATAAACAGGCGTTCACTATTTGAAGTCGTCTCAAATCATCTGTGGCTATTTTAGTCCTATTTTTGAGCGTATCTTTGTTTTTATCGTCATAGATATTTATACTCGTTGTTGTGTTTATTGTTTTAGACTAGCTTTCGTAAAATAATCATTACTCCATATTCCTGAAACATGTTTTCTGTAAGTAAACGAAAAAAAACGTAAATACACCCCACACTGATTAATCTTACAGAGTAGATCACAGTTTTGGACAGGATGAAAAAGAATGTAAAAGTCCGATTTGACGCCTGAACAATTTTCAAACCATGGAGATTAAATCTTATCTGATCAATATTTAAAATATCCGGTTGTTAAAATGATTGTTTACACCATCTTGTTCTTGAAACCATTTACCTTATGCTTAAATTATAAAGAAGAACATTCGAACACTTATTGTGACCAAAGCACTTCTATAAACATAAAAATAATGTTTGATTTTTTCGTTACTTAGATTCCTTTAGTTCTTTCTAGATTGCTTAAATTTACAACTATTAAAATGATCCGTATATCATTTGTTTTTCACAAACTAGCTGCTCTGTGTTCGGATTCAATAGAACCAGTTGTTGAGGTAGCTAACATGCGCCGCCAGATTGTTGTTAGTCCAACCGTTGAATCAGTCCGTTTTGCAAAACGTTATCAGTATCCGTACTTTTTTCGCACTGTTCCCTCAATGACACATGTGAGGTATGTGGTTATAGTGAGTGTTAGTCAACTTAGCTTTTTGTATATTTGTTCGTCTAGTCAAATCAGATCGACTGAACTTTGGTTACATACTCTAGGCAAGTTTAATGCACTGTTAATCTAAAAAAGCTTATCGACGCTGTTCATAAAAACTTAACAAGGTGTCTTATCTTTTTCAATCTTTTGCTTAAAAGATAGTCATAGTTACTAGATATCTCAGTAAAACGTTTTAAAGGCGTTGACATAAATTTTAACTTATCAATATATATGACATCTTAAGATATAATTCTTACCCAATTACGAACACAAACTCTGTTAACACCTCTACTGAACAAGTAACGTTATCATTCAAATATGTAGCCTACGCTAACAATTTTTTACTCAGCGTCACTTATCTAGTGTTAGGTATATTTAATGCGTAGACATTCCGTCCATAGCCGATTGCGGACTTGGACTATCTATCTTAGTCACCTAATCTGATATTATTTACATTTCACATTGTTACCTTACAAATTAAACTCTATCATTTGTCATTATTGATAAGTCTTGTTAATTGAACGCTGTTCTCGGATCCTAAGCTAGTCTTGTAACCCCCAAGCTAAATCTGCACAGCAACTTGAACACGAGAGAAAGAACGCAAAATATGCGAGAAGCACTTTACTCCAAAGATTCATTTATGTACAGAAAATATAGGGTTTTTATAGTATTTTAGAAGCCCTTGGGTTTTCCTGAAAATTCTAAAATACTGCTAAACATAGTAGCAGTGTAGTAATCAGCCTATTAGAGCCTCTACGTGTGACTTTACATTTTCGTGATGTTTCAAACAAAACTTTGAATCAAACGCTAATTGGATAAAATGCTTCTTAATGTTTCCTGAGCTTCTCAAGTCTATTGCAAGAAATTTTCAGGACCGCCCCAACAACTATAAAGGTCACACATTTTTCATTCTTAACAGTGCACACATACACACAAGTTTACATACATGTCGCTTATGAATCACTTTGACCGAAATGACATGAAATTGATTTATTCAAACCTGTTTTTTGATTGATCACATAATATTGGTGTTGTTCCATTGTACTATTTAAACCTGGAATAATTTTAATTTGGTTATTGATTCTTTGAAGAAGTGGCTTACACTGAGTCACCAAACGTCAGAAAATCTAATTTTTCTGCTCATTGGGATATTTACACATATAGCATTTATTTATTTATAACGATTGCGGATCAATTGGGTCTGGTCATTCAGGTAGTATTTTGAGTTTTTTAGACGTTGAGTGTAATGCAGTCTCATAAAGAAACCTGTGCGTAGTTGCAGATTTATAATCAGTACTGCTGTGCATTTGATTAGCGTTCAGAATGATTTTAGCTCTCACTATACATACTCGTGTGTGCCTTTATGTATAAGGGCACTAACTAGCATATTTAGAACTTCAATGTCATAAAACTTATCATCCATGGACACCATCTCACAATTTGAATTAACTAACGTACATTTCCTGCGCATATATACTATCAAAAACCTGTTCTCTTTTCACTGCCAAGTGTTATCAGTTATTATACACTCTAATCCTTTTTTTACTATACATCTCGAAATATAATCACGAAATTAATTCGATTGTTTCACTCTTTTTGTGTAGCTTAATCTTGATTAGATTATTCAGTAGTTGGGGTTGGCGTCGTGTTGCTGTGTTTCGTGAAGACGATCATTTCTTTGATCCTTTGATTTTTCAGTCGAATGGTATAGATCTTATTGCTGACTTTGTAATGAAGGAAAATCAACTCACATACGTTACTGTACTTCAAGTATGTCATTTCCCCTAAATATAGTAGATATATTTACAGTAAATTTTATGCGTTGGTTTTTTAAATTTTATGTTAATTTTTCTCACTAAACTATTAAGTACAATAAATAGATAAACTCGTTCTTCAAGTACTTGTATTTGAGCCACACTGATCTTCAGGACTAATAATACAACCTGGTTCCCTAAACTTATATATGCAAAACTGGATTTGAACTCGGGACCAATTAACTAAAATTCTAACACCTTAATCATTTAGCCCCTACTTCTATCATTAAACTTGCCTTCATCAAGATTCATTGGATAAGTTAAACAAAAACTATTATAGGCATAAGTAATTGCGTTAATTGATAGAGTATTTGTTTATTAAATTTCTCGAAACTCAGGCAATATAAAGTGTGTATATAATTTCTGAGAGCAGAAAACGAGATAACATCTTGAGAAATTTGTACATAGACAGGTGATATGCTTCAAATGTGACCATATACAGATTTAGTTGTTTAATACTAAGGTACACTTTTCGTGTATTTAAATGTGTATTACTGTCCGCTTAATCTAATCAAAGTGTATTGTGCAAAGTTGGGATCATTAAGTCAACGACTCTGGATTATAAACAGTCTTCATTATTACCATATCATATATTAATGAGGGTCGAATTCATAATAAAAAAGAGTACAGTCATGTGTTTTCTACAATATCAAGTTTATCTTTTATTCTATTGTGGATGCATGAAATCAGTGGTTTACATAATATTAACTTCTGAAAGGTTAGTCACAAGAAGCAAAAAGCTGTTTTCTCAAATAATGTGACGCATCTCGACCCGACTGTAGCTGCTACCTTGACGTGGTGGTTGGGCTTGCCTATCGTGGTGACCCAACCGAGCTATATTGGCTGGAACATATGTTCTTGTAAGTTCTAACATGCCAGGCAGGTCGATTGGATGGCGCTATGTCTAAAAGTAGCAACTCAAGGTCCGAGGGCAAATTAGTACCGCTGACTGTAGAGAGGTGTGATAGCAGTAGGGTGTTTTCCTCAGACAACCAGCATTTGCAGCGATACTGCCTCCTCACAAGGAAGCATGGGGTTAGAAACGGTCGACTCTAGAAATGTCACGCCTCATCTTACCTCACAGTTTTCCGTCTCCGGTGGTAAGGACCTTTGAAGAACGGAGCTAATACATCAGAAACCTCCCACAAAAAGGCCGTGCATGAAAGGCCTCAAGCAGTTGTCCTTTGGACTCTGTAGTAATGCACACTAGTCGTTAAGACTAATATTAATCCAAATTCCTTTTCAGGTCCCTCAAGAAATACCCTTCTACGGTGTGTGCAGCCGGGAAGTGATATTAGCCCTCATACCCATACTTGCACACGAGACCAAGTTGGTCACATTCAAATCCTTTCTACACCTTCTAATAACCCTCTTATCTCTACGACTAACCCTTCCCACGTCCATTTATCACCTCGCAGCGCTAGGGCAAACGATTCGAGTACACAGAACGTTATTCCTGGTCTCCTGAAACCACGCTCTAAACTACATGTAGGAACTTTTAATGTCCGAACATTGTGCCAAATAGGACAACAGGCTTCCTTAGCTAGGACTCTAGAATCTTACACCATCGATGTGTGCTGCGTCTCCGAAACGCGCATACAAGATCCGAGTAGTGTCATTCATTTGACCGCACCTAATCAAAATAAAGTTTCATCTCGATACACGCTTCGTGTATCTGGAAACCCTGATGCTGCTTCCCGTGGCCTCGCTGGAGTAGGTATAGCATTAAGTCCTAGGGCAGAACTAGCTCTTTTAGACTGGATCCCAGTAGACAGTCGTCTATGCGCTGTCCGACTAAACGGATCAGTAAAGACTCGGAAAGATAGGGACATTCGTTGTTGCCTCTTCGTCGTCTCTGCCTACTCTCCCAGTGACTGCAGTTCAGACGATATAAAAGATGAGTTCTGCAGGAAACTTTCTGACCTTCTCCGAGAAGCTAGGCGTTCTGATGTAGTAATAGTAGCAGGTAACTTTAATGCTCAAGTAGGTAAACTAAATGATAGGGAAAGACACCTGGGTGGATCTTAAGGTGTCATGGCGAAAAGAACAGATAATGGCGACCGTCTGTTGCAGCTATGCTCAAATAACCGCCTGTTTCTTGCAAATACCAACTTTAAGCACAAGGGAAAATATTTTTTGACATGGCGACCCCCGAATTCGTCCCAACGTTGGACCCAATTAGATCACATCGCTATCAGCCAACAATGGAGGAGCTCGATAGAAGACTGTCGCACATGCTTAGATCCAGATCATGCTGTGGTGCGAGCACGTGTCTGTCTGCGTGTTACTGGACGTAGGAAAACACTGCAAGGAAACCTCTTAGGGTTCTACTTAATGATAGGCAAGCTAAGAATATGTTTCAGGAACAACTAGAAAACCAGTTAGGCAGCCATGTAAGTTGTGCCCACCCCGATGCAGCGTGGAATGACATCCTAAAAGCTGTGGAAACAGCAGTGATATCTGCTATTAAGGTAAACCATAAGGTTAGGGAGAAACAATGGATCACGACAGCATCTACTGCACTGATAGATGCTCGAAAACTTATCTCATCTGGCTCTGAACATAACGAAGAGCGGAGTCAGATTAAGCGCAGGCTAATAAGAAGCCTACGCAATGATCGTGAACAGTGGTGGGTAGCGAAAGCAAGAGAGACGGAAAAGGCAGCGTCAATAGGTAACAGTAGGCAGCTATTCAGACTCGTTAAAGAAACCGGTATTAGGAACCCGAATATCAGTGAAACCATCTCAGATAAAGATGGGCATATTATTCATTCTCAATCCAGGAGATTGGATCGATGGGCAGAACACTTTAGGGATCAGTTCAACTAGCCTTCAGCCACACTTCAGTTACCCACGATCCCCAGTCGTCCTGAATGGCAAATTGATGTAAGTCCTCCAACCCTCTGTGAGGTTGAAAAAGCTATAGGAAATCTGAAGCGAGGGAGAGCAGCTGGCCCTGACAGTTTGACCCCTGAGATTTTTAAGGATGGCGGTTCAGTACAAGCAGTGAGATTGACTGCGGTCTTAGGTAGAATCTGGGAACTGGACGTAATTCCATCTGACTGGTCCCAATCACTGATTGTGCCAGTCTATAAGAAAGGACAAAAGTCCTCTTGTGACAATCACAGAGGGATCAGTTTGACTAATATAGTATCTAAAATATTAGCTTCAATAATACTTGGACGCCTAACCAAAGGTCGTGAAGAGCAGACTAGAGAAAACCAGGTTGTTCTTCAACCTGTACGCGGTTGTATAGACCCGATATTCACACTACGTCAGGTCCCAGAACATAGACATACATTCAGACGTCCCACAATAGTAGTATTTCTTGACCTTAAGGCGGCATTTGACTCCATTGATCGTGAGGTTCTATGGTAGTGTTTGTCACTGAAGGAGTACCAAAGAAGTATATTAACCTCATAAAGGCTCTCTACTCGAACAAAACTGGTCGAGTTAGAGCCTATGGCGAACTGTCATCAGAATTGATTACCTCAAGTGGTGTTCGTCAGGGCTGTTTACTCTCTCCATTCTTGTTTAAGTTTGTCGTTGACATGCTTCTGGAGATAACACTTCTATCATTATAGGGAGTGAAGTAGTTGAGCGTGTTAACCGCTCCACTTAACTTGGGAGTCTCATCAGCCCTTGTGGTCTGATGTGTAACGAAATCTCAGCACGGATCCAGAAGGCTCGTCTAGCTGTCGCCAACTTGCGTACACTCTTTGTGCTCTGCCAAATTCTAATCTTCTGAATTCTTCGTGTTTCTATCTTTTTTCCCTTTTCAAATTTATTTTACTGGATGATACTCCTTGAGTAACATCTTCAAACCCTAATCTTTCGGATTACTGCTTATACTCTTACTGCTTCTACCACTATGTGATTTAAATCGACAACTGGATCCTTATGCTAATGTGGTATAGCAACTCGAACTGTTGTACGTACGTACAAATTTCTACGTTGTGACTGACTGACTTACGCATTTTGAGGTTATTGAAAGAAACATCAACTATGTTTTCAGTACTGTCTAACCATTTCCTCGTCCCATATATTCAATAATTTCATCTTCGACATAAGGCCAAGGATGTTTTTGAGCTTTGCTTTAGAGTTTTTTTGTGTTCAAAAACTTAGACTTACTCTGGTTACACTAGTTTTTTCAGTAAACAGTCAGGGCTTACTGAGTTTCGCTGATAGTAATGAACAATATGTTTTTCAAGTATTAAATTCTGTTATCAGTTGCAGAAAAAACGAGCGTGATCTCGGGATACGAAAAGAACAGTATGGTGTTACATTTAGTTTTCAAAGTACAATTTATTATTAATGAAAAAATAATCTGGGTAATATAAGTAGTTTTGTTTATTGGAAAAAGGGTTTTGATACTTTTCGTCCATGCAATAAACATTTCAGTTTCAAAGCAGATTACCCATTTCATCCAGCGAAAATAAAAATGTTCCTCTCACTTTTATGACGCAGGTGGAGGAAAATTACACCACTGGCGTATACTTCAATCCATGTCTTATAACGTGTCAGCCCACTGAACTGTTTTATCTGCAGGACCTCAACTGAGGTGTTGTGATGGACCAACAGACCTCAGTCCTTCGCGTTTTCTAACCAGTCCAAACGTCGGCAAATAGTGCGCTGGAATAAAATTCGTAATACATTTCCAAGCCCCCTAAGTTGGTATCTTAATTGTAAAGACCCGTAATTCATTTTCGCTTGTAAACATAAAAGATCAATTATTTCGAACGTTTTAATATAAGATTGACTTGAATTTATAGACATTTTGTTGATAATTACTTTGTCTTTTTCTGCGTATTCAACAATCACAGTAGTTAATTCTAACTCTTTTAGGCTTTGAAACTTATGAACGATCGTACTAGTCGTATCTTCATGGTTGAATATTTTGCTAAAGGTACAGCCATCATATTATGTGCTGCATATCACTTAGGAATGCACTTTGATGCGGGTTATGTCTGGTTTCTTAATCCTTGGTTATCAAGCAATTGGTGGCAGGCACCTGATGTGCATCCCAGAGAATGTACCCATGAAGAAATGCATAACATAACTTCGTGGACTTTCACGGTTGGACATCAATTAATCATGGAACCATTGGCTCACAAATTTATGCCTTCTTCATTTAGCGATGGGAATTTGTTTGCTTTTGACTCGTCATCTCATAAGCTACAAGGCACTAGTCGACGATTCCGTCGGTATTCAAATCAGTATGCACAAGATTTGCGGATTCGTAAATTCAAGCATCCATTATATAATGGTCATTTTACAAATAATTATGACGATTCACCTTCAGATTCCGAGTTACAACGTTCAGTTTTTAATACGAAGAGTGAAGATGTTGAGTATGTTCATTCTTCTCATGATTACGCAATACATACATATGAATCTGTTATTGTTCTAGCTGCAGCACTTATTCACTTATTACACCAAAATCCAAGTGCTATTTCTGTTTTTGAATCAATGTCAGTTGCGGAGGCGTATCGTGAGTTAGTTTTTGAAACAGACTTTAGATATACTATTTCTTCAAGATTCATTATGGATGATTCCTTTGCAAACCCAGTTATTTCATTGGACACAGGTTTCCACTATGTATACCGGAAAGATGAAATTAAATCGGCTTCTCAATTACGATTTAATAATTTAAACGAGCGTGTTGCTGATTTTTGGCTTCTTAAACAACATCAAATCAATATCACTGTTCCCATTGTATTGTGGAGTTTAGACCAAGAGTTTGTAAGCGACGATAATTCTATGCCTTTGAGTTCTTTAATGGACGCAGCTGATCTGACTAACTTAGCGGCTTCTGAACGTTTTGCCCAACTAATGGGGGAACGCTGGATTAACGATGTGAATTGGGGTAATAACGATGGACCACCAGATGATGGATCAGAACATGACGATGACTGTGTGTTTGGATTTGTAAGCAGAATTTTCGGTGTGAATTGTACTGGTTCTACCGTGATCGCTACTATTTCGATAGTGGTTTTTGTAACAGTACTATGTTTTATCCTGTTTATTGTTTACTATCGGCGCAAACTAAAGAAAACACAATTAAAAATTCGTCAACCATATGAAAACCTTTGTAATGAGCTAAAAGACATTGATGTAAGTACACATCACCAGTGAATAATTTTGTCTTTTAGAGTAGTGTAATCTAGATCTTAGCTACCGTTTGTTCATGTTAAAACGCCTTACTGAAGGTAAATACTAAGCGCCTGTATACGTGTGATTTGGTAACTTTTAGTATGCAGTCGGTCGTACGCCCTACACAATTTTCTAAATAGTTTTTGTACAGAAATAAGATTGTTGTCTTCATACATTGATCTAACCTGCTTCGGTTTAAGAAGGCATGTAGAGAATTTTGAAACCATAGAAACAACCTTAAAGTATTCTTCTCAAATGATTGAAGATGCTTCAGATAAAACTTCCGTTTTTTCCTATAGGTTTGAATGTTTATGTCGATTCGCGACTGCGAATTCTGGGGTATTTTTAGCAAGCTATGTTTCAGAGTGATACAATAACGTGAAGTGCTTCTCAAGAATTGCACTTGCACATGCTTGTTTATTCCTATGATCCATTTTGAACCATATCACAAAGCGTTCTCAGCTGTTACTCTTTTTATGTGTTAGGATTTTAAATATCGTCTAAATGTTTTGCAGAGTCATGATGACCAGCTCACTCAAAAGTTAGATTTTCATGCGAGATAATTTCAGATTGCTAAAATACATAATTACTACTCGTATCACAGTATTGAAAAGTATAATAGCACTTAATTCCCAGTTACATCTCATTCTACCAATCTGTGCCTGAATTTATCCTAACTGTTAATTACACTGTGGTTCCTTTTGTCATGAATGATAGAGGTAAGATTTTCACAACTTTATGTCACAAAAGTTGTCTAGTGATAGTCTTTTATAAGTGAATAACAATAGAAGAGATGTTATGATATATGAAAGATCTATACATCTTCATAACTAGTTTAGAGATTCAAAATTTTCCATTTTGTCCTAATCAGTTACATTTCGATTAACTTTTTAAATATTAGAAGTCTAGTTTCGTGTCTCTTGTTACTGTCAGATTCCACCTGCCGACATAGTTTTGAATCGTCGTGTCGGTCAAGGAGCATTCGGTATGGTGTATGGCGGTGAAGCGAAACGTAATGGGCGTTGGGAAGCTGTAGCTGTCAAAGTGATTGGTAACAAAGCTACTTACGAAGGGAAAACAGATTTCCTTTCGGAAGCAAAACTAATGAGAAGTCTAGACCATCGAAATGTTGTCCGTTTAGTTGGTATCTGTTTGTATCCGAAAGAAAATCATCTTTATCTAATCATGGAATTTATGCTAAATGGTGATTTGAAGACGTATCTTCTATCTCGACGTGTTTTGGCTCAACAGTATGTTTAACACCACTGTAAACTTTTCCCCTTTTGATGACAGTTATTGATTTTATGTATACTGAAACATATGCTAACTATAAAAACACATTCGTTCTCAAAGTATGCCTTGGTGACGCATTCACTGAATTCCATCTGTCGGGTGATATGTTGGTACTACTAGTTCACCCGACCGTTGCTGCTACCTTAATGTGCTGTTCGGGCTCGCTTATTGAGATGAACCAATCGGGCTATACTGGCCGGAATAGTTGTTCCTCGAGGTCTTACCACGCCAGACAAGCCGGTAAGACTAAAAGCAGCAAACTCAAGGTTCGAGGACTAAGTCGTACTGCCGACTGTACAGATGTGCGATGGCAATAAGGTGTTTCCTTCATAAAACCAGCATGACAGCGATGCTGCCTTCTCACAAGGAGATGTGAGGTTAGGAAAAGTCAACCATAAAAATGCACATCTCGCCTTATCCCACGGATATCTGTCCTCGGCAGTACGGTCTCAACAACTACGGAGCCAAAATGAAAATTACTCACAAAAAGGTCGCGTATAACCGACTTCAAACGGTTGTCTCTTGGGCACTGCGGTCAATCTTTCAGGTCACGATGACCAACCCAAATCCAATTTCTTTTTCAGACGCCTCAAGGAGAACCCTTCCACGGTGTAGGCAACCGGAAATTGATAACCGCCCTCACACCTCTAACAGCACTCAAAATCACTGTATTCTTAATCAATTTTCCCTCTTCCATTCCTATCATTCCTCCTACCTTGACTTTCAACACTAAACTTCCTCTTTCGAGTTCTTCCTCAAGTGTCACCATGACCAACGATTCTAGTGCGCGAAACACTGTCCTAGGTCTACTAAAACCACACTCCAAACTACACATTGAAGCCTTCAACGTACGCACCCTGTGCCAAATCGGTCAACAGGCCTTCTTAGCTAAGACCCTAGAATATCGTACGATTGATGTTTAGTGTGTCTCTCAAACACACATACAGGGTCCTAGTGTGATCCTCCACTTGACTTCACCTTGTCAAAACGCAGAGTCGACAAGATACACCCTTCATGTATCTGGCAACCCTATGGCTAGCTCTCGTGTACTTGCAGGTGTAGGTAGGCAAGGCACTTAGTACAAAGGCAAATCAAGCACTTCTAGTATGGATCCCCGTTAACGGTCGCCTATGTGCTGTCCGGCTAAATGGCTCTGTAAAAACTCGAAAGGATAGGGACACACGTCGGCTATACGGTTCCGTAAGAACTCAGAAGTATAAGGACACATGTCGTTGTCTTTTGGTCGTTTCTGATTACCCTCTCACTCTGCAGTACGGATGAAGTGAAAGATGACTTTTACAGAAAGCTTTCTGAACTTCTTCATCAACCTAAACGCTCAGACATAGTACTCGTAGCAGGTGACTTTAATGCCCAATTAGGCAGCTTAAACCAAACAGAAAGACATTTAGGTGGCTATTTTAGTATTCTGACTCAGATAATGGTGATCATTTGTTGCAATTGTGCTCAGGCAATCGTTGTAACTGACTAACTACTTGTTCAGGTCGATTATTAACACCTGTTCTTTCGCTGCCTGTTCCAAATTCTGGGCGCTGTGTTATTTCTTCTGCCTCTCTTCCATTTTGTCTTAAAGATTTCAAGTTGAGGCTTGCTTGTTGATCTCGGTAGAGTGCGACATATCCACCCCTCGTAGGTTTTGTCAACTCACATTTCATCTGGATTGTGGTTCGTTCTCTTCCAAAGTTGGTTGTTGCTGATGATGTCTGGTCAACGAGTCTGGAGTATCTTGTGTAGGCAGTTATTTTTAAATACTTGCCTTCTCGCTTTTGATATTCCTGATGGCCATGTTGATTTCTTTTACTGTTGGTGAGATAACATCTATATTTGTCTGTTATTTCCTTCTTTCTCAGCCTTTTCTCTTGTCATTGCTGTCTTCCCTATTTTGGGAATTGGGTAGCTACAGATAGATTTTTTGAATAATTCTCTCTACTGTCACACATGGAGTCTCGTCAGGGCTATAGTGAAAGTAGGTAACTACGTATGTAGCCAACAATTGTAACTTTTTCTAAAATGTAACTAACCACAGTGTTAGTACAAAAACGCGAAATTGTAGTCAATTACCAAGAGAACAATAAACACATTCACATAAAACAGTAGCACGGAAACAAAAAAATGAAACAATAACAGGGGTTAGTCATGTTTATATAACTAGTGCAATTTACCGATAGTGTTGGTGATTGAATATGTAAAATGAGTTTAAAGTATTTGATTTGAACGAGTATTGTACAAATAGACTGATGACTATTTGGCGTTTTTTATAGGATGTTTTGAGAAACAAAGACAAAATCCTTCTACGTTTCACGATCTTGCATTCATTTCATATTGATTGTACTAGTAGGCAGAAGCTAGAGTAACTGTTACTAAATGAAAATTCGCGTGATCTAATTACGGTTGGAACTAGAAAATGAACTGCTATAAGACAGTCTAAGGCGTAATCGAATGCAAGATTATATGTTCCATATTTATGATTAGCTAGACAAATTATTATTATTAACTAACATGTTTACTGACAGTATGAGTTTATATTTATGTTGAATATCAAATGGAGTCTAACGTTTATCTTTTGAAAAGCTAGTTGTTGCCATTAATCATCCACCTTATTTTAGAGTGCCTGATCATGACGGTGTTTGTCCAGCTACACTGACTGGTATGGCAATCGATATTGCTGAGGGTTTGGCTTACTTACACAGGAAAAATTTGATCCATCGTGACATTGCCTGTCGTAATTGTCTTGTTGGTTCTGATGGGATTGTAAAAATTGGAGATTTTGGTCTTACTCGTGAAATGAATAGTAGTGAGAACGAAGGTTATTATCGCTTTACTCGTAACTGTAAGTGTTGGAATAACTCTTGTTTGTTTATATAACCTTGTTTATTCTATTTAAAATGTTCATGTACAATTTATATAGCATAAGTGATTTTTAATGTTGATCTAAATAAAACCACTTCATATTTTTACTGCGTGTGCTCGCTTAATACTGTATTTGTATTACTAAAAGCTTTAGTTCTTTACAACCAATTTGGGTATATTGTGTTTTTGCAAACCACCATCATATAATGTATTTAAAAACTTCATATTCGTCCCTGTTACTCTGAGTCCTGTGTTGTTAAAGAGCTGTTGTCTAACCGTTAAAGGAATAATTTCCCAACTACTGGTGTGTTCGTCGGAACCTCCCCTAACGTACTCACATGCTTCAAATGTGGCCTAAAGAAGTTTTCACACATTTACTTCGTAAATTACGTCATTTTATCAACATTTCTAAACCCAACTGTTATGTGCATATACCAATCTGTGACAGATATTTCAGAAACTGATTTTTCATATCTCTATTCAAATAGGTGGTATCACTTTCCTAATTGATGTAAGTACAATGTAAAACCAATATCCTGACGCTAATGTTTCAAACTAGAAGACGGTGTACTATGCTGACAGCACGTTTTTCAAGATTATACTGCGATATTCGTGATACGTTTGTTTCCATTGCTTTCAACTTTTTGTTAATCAATTTTTATAGGTGAACTCCCCATTCGTTGGATGTCTCCTGAAGCTGTCCAGTTTGGTGTATTCAGTGTTCATTCTGATATTTGGTCATATGGAATAGTATTATATGAAATTATAACTTTTGGAGTGTTCCCGTATGATGGTTTAGGTGATGTTGAAGTTGTGGAGCGTGTAAAACGTAAAGATTTTAGCATAATCGAATTTTTGCCTTTAGCAGCAAGAAACACTACTATGTAAGTTCCATATTATTTATTTAGGTATAATTTTTTTTGTAATCTGTGCTATTTATTTAATAATGTACCATATGTTTCTTGGTTGTCTTACTTTTTCAGCTCCCGATTAATATATCAATGTTGTCAGCATCAATGGCAACATCGTCCGGCTTCACTTGATCAAATTATAGCTATTTTACGAAAAAATCCCGATTGTGTCCGCCCGTTTCTTACAAATGAACCACCGAAACCAAACAGTACCATTGATGCCCTTCGTGTAAGTTACTTCTGGATGTTATTTTCAGGATTTAAACAATCAAAAGTCATTATTTTCATGCTTGGTTTTTCTCTTGTCTCTTGATCATCGACTAGATCTTCCCTACGAGCAGTCTTACCATCATTACGTTCCAATACCAGCACTAATATCACCGTGATCTTTGTCAGTAGCTGCTTAGTTATGATCCTTTTCAAACGGAAATGGTTCCAAAGGATTCATAATTGTGCAGCGACATGTATTTTCAGATTTTCTTTAGTAGAAAATGCTAATTGATTTTGGTTGATGTATTATTAATTCTTTACAACTAGTATACACTACTGTTAGTAAAAGCGTTGGGGTAATGAATAAGGTATTCGGTCTCCAATTCTTACTCTCATCTACTCATCTACTTGGGTTTAGACAACCGTTAAGTATCATTGGCTGACACACTTAGATTGTGCTTCATACTCAAATATTTGGTGAATGAGTTATTCAAACAAGTTTAATGTACTATTGTTGTTGTCAATTTCACATGAATTTCCTTAAGTTAGTGTAAGTGCGTAAAGACTTATTAAAATTCAGTTTCACATTTCGCCCTTGTATTATTGGATTTTGTCACAAATACTCAGATCAATCGAATATAACTATTTTTCAATAATTAGTCAGGAAGGCATGAATACAAATATCTTCTGAATTATCAAGATTATATGCTTTGTAGTGTAGTGCCGTGCTTCGATCATAGTTCGCTTCGATAACCGTTATTAATACCAATCTTAACGGTGTATAATATCAGAAGGCAAAGGGAAGCGGCAACTACATTTTTATTGATAATCGATGCAGACCAGAAAGTTGTAAGCACATGAGCAACTGTAAGCAAGCGAAGCAAAGATGATGCGTATTGGAGATGGCTGGGAAGCCAACTCATTTTAAGCAAGGGTTAACTAACATTTATAGGCAGGCAAAAATGAGTGACAGACATATGATGAATAAGATACGAAGTGTACACATATGCGCTCATATAAAAAGTACTCAAGGTTAATAAGCAAATGATTAACAAGATCAAAAGATGACTCAATGTACAGGTGAATTGGCTTGGCCAGTAACTAGAATAAAGTATATGGGCCTAACATATGAACTGGTACTACATAGCCCCCTTGTAGAAAATAGCACATTTATAAAAAAATGTCTGTTTTCGAAAAATAACACTGAAGCGGTATGAGGATAACGTCAAAATGTGGGAAAAAATGGTACAATACCTGATGAATTACAGCGTCATGTGAGGGGTGAGCGTATTAAGCGAAAGTGTCATACTTATGTAAAAAGGAACATGAATATTGTCAAAGTGCGGACAAAAATAGGGATGCTAGCATGTGATTATGAGTACATTAGTAAGCGTTCGAAAAAATTTAACATGAATTTATGTAGTGACTGTCCGAATGATAAAATAACATGTTCGTATGAGCGATTTGAAATATAGTGAAAATAGAGTATAACAGTAATTGCTCTGTGGTGCTGATTGAATATGAGGATAAATAACAGTGAAATATGTTCTGATAAGCTGCAGTCGAGTAAATAGAGTCGATTGGCGATGAGTGGATTCGAATTTACACGATTGGAGTTTACGTGGGATAAAAAATAATCCAGCCGTAGGATGATGACTGCCTCAGCGGTTGATATTCATTGCTGTACTGCTACTGATAATGATAATAAAATGCGAAGTCAGCGTATGTTACCGTTTGCGTCGAGTTATCGTTAAATATGTATTAGTAGAATGACCAAAGGAACAGGATAGTGACTGCTGAGACGAGATATGCGGAGTCGTATTCCTTTTTGGTCATGAAGCCTATCGTGGTTTGTGTAGTTAGAGGGATATGCGCTCAACCTCGTTTGTTACGAAACCGTATTAAGGCATAACAAAAATACCAATACATATGATTATTGATGGCGGCGAGTGAGGCTGACTTGGATGTGACGAACAAGAGTGTATCCTTGAGAGACTAGCTCTAAACTCTATGTTCTGGCGTACAGTGCATTGAGAATAGAATATTAATCGTAGTAATCGAATTGTGATTATCGGTAATGGATGATGCAGCATTCAGATATACATATGAATGAATAGATAATATGAACATAATCATTACTAATCGGCTGGTAATGCGGCGTCGAATACTTAATTTGTGTATAGACATTAAAGTAGGGATCATAGTGAAACAAAAATTGCGGAAGTTCGGTTTAGGTTGTCGCTGAAAATGTAGGAAACGACGGTTGCTGCGTACCAATGAAATGAATGAACATTAGTTGTCTATCGAGAACATAAGTTACTACTATCGGGAGTGTGACTCCAAACTTATGTCTATGATAGAGTGTAATATTAGACCGAAAATGACATGAAAAAATTGGAACGAACTCACTTGAATCAGGAAAATTGTACGTCATTGGATAATAAAAATAATCCAGTGAGTTTCGAATATGATAACGTGTAATGTCCAAATAATTATAATTTGTTCGATTAGTGATTCGACTGCGTGAATGTCATAGTTTAATGTGAATACGAGCAAAAATAATAATTCCACGTTAGATGATGATATGACATTATTGTAATAATGAGCATATGATGATTATTAGAATCAACGAAATATGTCGTCGGCGGTTTCATTTTTGATTTGTGTTCACTCGTTGCGGTTGCCGATTCTGTCGCGTGTTCCAAATACGGCGTGCCAATTATGTTGTGAGTTCGTACGTCGAGGTTGTCGATTCTGGTCGATGTTCGTTCGGCGAGACATCCAATTATGTTTTCGCGTTCGTAAGTCGGGATCGCTAATTGTGTTGCGTGTTCGTACGTCGGGATTACCAGTTTTGTAGTGCCGTGCTTCGATCATAGTCCGCTTCGATAACCGTTATTAATACCAATCTTAACGGTGTATAATATCAGAAGGCAAAGGGAAGCGGCAACTACATTTTTATTGATAATCGATGCAGACCAGAAAGTTGTAAGCACATGAGCAACTGTAAGCAAGCGAAGCAAAGATGATGCGTATTGGAGATGGCTGGGAAGCCAACTCATTTTAAGCAAGCGTTAACTAACATTTATAGGCAGGCAAAAATGAGTGACAGACATATGATGAATAAGATACGAAGTGTACACATATGCGCTCATATAAAAAGTACTCAAGGTTAATAAGCAAATGATTAACAAGATCAAAAGATGACTCAATGTACAGGTGAATTGGCTTGGCCAGTAACTAGAATAAAGTATATGGGCCTAACATATGAACTGGTACTACAGTAGTATAAGATATCCAAGTGATTATCATTTCTGCACTAGTCTTATCGAGTTTTTGCCTCTATGCTGCAACTTGGATGATGCACTGATGTTTTGTTTTTGTAGCTTGTTCACCGAAGTACTTTTACACCTATGCTTTATTTTGTAATATGTTTTTTCGAGTGTGACTGATTCTTATTATGCCTTCTCGTAATTACTCCCTCTTAACATCAGAAACTTTTCTCGGTTCCTGCATTAGTATGATGGAGAGTGTTTTCTCTAACGTTTTCTTATTGTCTAGGAAAATGTTGTGAAGTTTACTTTTTCATTCTCTTTTCTATTTTGCTTAGTTTCAACCTGGTGCTGGTGCATGTATCATGTCGAAAAATACTCTTGCTTCTGGTGATCCGTCTCCAAGTAACCCAGTTACTTGTAACACTACCTCTGATGGCATTCATGGTTATCCAATAAGTTCTAGTATTCGAGGTGTTCTCAGTGCAACAGGTAGTTTGGGTGGTTCCGGAAAGTCCCCGTTGGGTCATCATTCATCGGATTCATTTTCAGAGAACCTTAGTACATCTGCATTTCTATCATTTTTATCAGAAGCTCCTTTGCAAAACTTAGGTCGACGTCGTCATAAGACTGCTGATGGTTCGACGACAACCTGTCGGTACCATGGTATTCGTCGGGGTACCAGTTCTTCTTCCTGTGGCCATACGTTTCGTAGTTCAGAACACAGTTCTGGTGATCGTTCAACCACCGAAGACCAACCACATCTTGCCAGTGAAATTTTGAGATTCCCTAATTGTCAGAAGCTTGATTCTTTCAGTCCTAAATCAACCATCTCATTTGAAGAAAGGAGATTAAAAAACTACTCTAAAACAAGACATGGTAAACCAAGTCCAATCAGAAAAATATTTAGCAAACAAACTAGTATAGGGGACGAGCATATGGAATTAGTTTTGCCAAAAAATCCAACCGATTATCGTTATGTTCATGATTCGCTTAATCAATCTTTCGTCACACCTATAAGCTATCCCCAGGATGAATCAAAGACCAGAACTTCCCAAGGAGAAATCGTATATGAATGCGAGGATTTTCAAAATGTTCAACAAGATAACAGTTTAGCGTTTCTACCTTGGTAAGTATATTTGTCTAATCATTCTGCATGTAATACTTTTTCGTTGTTGTTCTATTGTATTATTTACTCACCACTTTCCATTCAGAATTTTGGATTCTTAAAAGTATTTGAAATAGCAGAAACCAATATATTTTGATCTAATCGTGTAGTTCAAACTGGATTTATTTTCCTTTATGCAGTTTACTGCACAAATTGTCCCATAAGTTTATCATAGAAGTAGTGAATAATGTTTCCAAGGTAATTGGAAAGCTTACGGTTATCATTGTATTCAGGATCCAAGCGATTGAGTAAGTCTGTATCATAGCCATCCATGTAACTCAGAAGTTGTTCATTTACAAGTGGACTTTTTCAGTGCTGCATTTTACGGTTACTGAAGTTCATCTTTTGAACACTAGCAATTGTTGTCTCCGTATTCTAGGTGATCGATTTTTTAAATTCAGTTAAGTTTCTGTATAGTTAAGCGATTTGCTAGCGTTTAACTTTGGAAACAACAATATTTACTTACTCCAGTACTCAGTATATGATAAAGGAATACAAATAGGTACTCCGAAAATGCACTGGATTTACTCCAAGTGATGATATTTCCAGGGAATGCATTATTTAATATTCGGAAAGTTTCCAGGTAGAAAAAGCCTCACCGCTGCACCTGCTACTTCAAGTGGGAAAATAATTTATGATTGATGAACTGCCTTTTCATCTTTCAGGATATTTTAGTAGGTTATTTGTCTCTCATCCAGGGAGTAAGAGCTTAGGACAACTTTGAACTCCTAATTTGCACAAGTGCGTAGTATTATTATATTTTACGCAAGTGATAGATCATAAAACAGAGTCCAGTGTCAAACTGTAGATTTTTAAAGTCCTTTGAGTAATTAAAATCTTTATATTTCTGTCCAGCTTATTTGGTCTTATACAAACGGCTTTTGAAAGTGCTACTATGTTTTTCTTGTTAGCTTCAATATAAATTTTTCATTTAACGGGATGAGCGGTAAAAATGGATGATTTTCGTGACCAACATTCGTTTCTCTTTCGGCTAAAGATATGTTACTGGACGATCAGCGTATTAGTGACAGTATAAAGCATATAGAAAGTGCTTTTAGTATCTGTTCTGTATTCGAATCTGTAATGAAATCTACGTGCATTTTTTTATAACAACCACTCATTCTCTTTCATTTGGTAACTTCTCACTCAGAACACGTCACTTTGCCCAAAGAATATGAGACCGGTATTCGTTTTCAAAGTAACTTTAAAAAAAAATAAGGTTAAATTCACTCCATCTCATTCTTATACTGAAAATACTTCTTTGATTCTCTGTTCTGTGTTCCTCGTTTTTGCTTGTAGAAGTAAAATAACTATTATCCAGTTAACAGTTCATAATAACCGAATCATCTTTTTTTTTCTCACCGTTCAGATAGTGTTCGAACTTCTGTCAGTCACTCTGTTTCACAACATACTTGTCCACAGTTTTCTACGTCATGTCTATTCATTTTCAGTCCAAATGCTTCAGATAATCAAAGATCTATTCCTTTGTCTATTGCTATCTCCTAATGATAAATATTGGAGCCAAATCTAAATGAACAAAACTACTGAATATCAGCCTGTCACATGTCTCTAAAGCTGTTTGCTTAAACACAGCCCAGGAAAAAACTGGCTTCAGTTGCCATATTTTTCATGTTTTGGAGATAGAACAACCTATTGCCAATTATTTTCATGGTGTACCTATCACAAATATAAAGGAAACACTCGTAAATCAGAACTATTTCTACTTTAATAGTCTGTTAACTTGTTATACTCGTTTATTTGTAATTTCCCGGTTTCAGATATCCTATTTCACCGCTACCTCAGTTTATGAACATGTGTATTTTAACTCTACAATATTATTCGTTTGAAATTTCATTTACGAATATTGAGTACGTATTATGTTAATGAATTTTTCAAAAATGTGAATGAAATAATTTTTTATGATCCAGGAAAATGATTTATATTAAATATTCAAAAATCTAATGGTATATATTTGGTCTTGCTTCCGAAGATACTTTCATTATTCGCCTTTCGTTAAAATCATACTTGTAAGGGTTACGCACCTCATACTATATGTAGTGTTGAAACTTCATTATCAGTTATCTTTCGTTTTTGTAACTTTCATTTTTTGGTAATAACAATAATTTTATTTCATCTGTGTAAATTTTATTCAACAATGTCGAGAAATTTTATTTTTTCCTGTAAATCTGTTTTTGAGTTTAGATGTACTATATTGATCCAACTATGTGTAATGGGTAGTAATTTCCTTTGTCAAATCAAACATAGATTGTATATAGTTGGTTTATTTTATTATAGTCAATATTTCTTATCTTACAGAATGAGAAATCCTTTTATATAATTTTCTTGTATATTATTCTCTGAGCTTCTTTTTAAAAATTGGTCAATAATTGGCCTTATTCGTAATGACACTCCTTTTTTTACCGCGATTTCTATGCCCTTTTTTGTATTTTCAGTAACTGTACCAAATAAACTTATCAAATTTATGATACCTCCTAAAGATCTCATTCAATTCATATTAGTTTCATTTAATTTGAGTTTTTTTTAAATAAAAAAACGTATCCATAACTCGTCATACATGTAGCCTTACTTCACAGTTCTAAACTGCGTTGTTATTTCAAATCTTTCGAACACCAGATTTCTACTATCTGATGTACCCGATGAATGGTTTGGTGAGTAACCTATAACCTAAATTAATTATGGTAAGAATATTTCCGCTTCGGTAATTAAAATGTTTTAGTTATACTCAACTTCTCGGTAGAAAATTTCAATGAGTCGTCGGTCCGGTGAAATATTTAGATTTATTGTCTTTGGGACTTTCATCCGTCCCCTGAAAGCTTTCGTCAATTTAACTAATACCATAATGAAACTTTACCAATCACCTCCATTGTTCTCTTTTTAGACATTCGTTTATGTAGTGTCATATAAGTTGAAATAGTTCAGGTAATTGACGCGAATATATAGTTTGTATCGCAATTTAATCTCCTTTAATCGGGCATTCATTCTAATGTTCATTTATCCGTTCCAGAATCAACTTGTTGAATATATGTTGTAAATGCTTATTTAATTATGGTGCTGTTGATAACCTTTAAATTTTTACCTCACTCAGTTCCGTCCTCTAAGCAGCTTTATTTTATCTACTTAGATTTGCATCGTCAGCTTGAAGTGCATGAAATAATAAAACTTGTATACATAATTAAACATGACATATTCCCAATTGGTTTGTGATTATTTTGTTGTATCGTGGGGCATATCGCTTTTGTATTGAGTATTCGAATTAGTACAGTTAATCGCGTCACAATATTTGTTCATCTTGTCATTATTATCATCCAGGTAACTTTCAACCCAAATAATCACTAACAAGCGTTGCTGTTACCTTGACATGTGCTTGTAACAAGTGAAACCCATTGGACACAGTCTCAACAGTAGGACTTCATGATAGCTGATGTTACTTTGTGGTCATGGGAAAACATAACCTCCCTTAACACAAGGGACTGCACTTATACTGTCCGAGAAAACGCCTACATAACCAGAATCTCATGGAGTCGCAGCATATTTTTTTATCAAAACTTCAATATCATAACTTTACTAGGAAGAATATGTCACAAATGTAGTGCCGACACTGTTTATATCTTGATAGCTTTCCAAATTCTTAACTTACTTCTGACATAACCGTCTACTAGAATAATTTCTAAATACTAGTGGGGGAATAGTCTCCGAACTCAAACTTGTAACTGTATTCACGATCATCGCGAAGCATATGTTCTGAATTTGTGAGGAGTTAGCTATTCAAGCACTGATCAACCTTGAGAACAACGTTTCTAAAAACATTTTGTACTGAAGTCTTGTGTTTGCAATATTTCGACGTAGTTATTGATAGTTTAACATTATATAACACTCATCCGTTTATACGTAGTTCTGACTTTCAAGACAATAGCCAATTTCAAACAGGCGGAAGGTTTAGTCTTACTCAGTGTTTTAATACAAAATTGACGTCCATTTTATCCGTAACGTCTACTTGGTATTCACTAAAATGTCAATCTTAAGTTGTATTGGATTCTTGAGTATAAATTCATCCAGAGATATGTTTGAAGATACGAAGTTTCAGCATAAGGTGTGTGTGTGTCGTTACTTGAGAATATCGAAGAAACCTACTGTTTAACATTCAACTAGTAAAGTGATTGTGGAATTCTGAACAAAATGCAAATACCTGTCCAATCGAATTTTTCATTCAACGATCCAAGAGGTTGGTAACTGGAGGTCTTAATACGAATAGTTCTTAGATTAATCAGATAGAATAATGAACTCGGTGGTAAATATCATAATATAATTTTTTTTGGTATCACAAGTCCTCATCGCTTCTAGAGGTTTGATCAATAATTTTCAACATAGGTTCACGGATTAGATACCTGGTAGGATTATCAAAAAGAATACATCAACACTTTAGTAAAAGTTTACGGCAAATGTTCACAGGAATTTAGTATTTAAGGATTTGATAGATTGGTATAGTAAATCTGGAAAACGTTTTCCTTGAGTAGAAAGACCTAAAATAATGCTTTTGTTGAACCTTTGCCCTAGTTCTCAGGGTAAGCTCTATTATCAGCTGCTACAAACGTGGTGCTTGAGAAAGAAAACAGAAGCAGCAGGCAGAACGACCCAAGATTATTAACAAAGCCTCGTTATTTGTAATGTGACAGCTTGAGGTATACTTGATTAGTCACTATAGAGACCTATCGTTAATGAAAATACGTGTAAATTACACAAACAATTATGATGGGGAGTGAAATGTCAGAAAGGGTCGATCTCAGCATTTGAAGGCCTCATCAAACGTGATGTAATTTTGTTCAAAGTTTAATTTTCACATATTTGTTTAGTCTTGGAAAACTTAATAGCAGTCTGAAAGGAGACCTACAAAGTGTTGATATTTTGAGAAAAAAGTGTAATGAATTAATTCACTGTATAAAAATTAGGTCAATCTAAACCCTCTAGAAGTTGAATTATCCACTTAACTTTGTCAAACATTTGACCACGAGTTTATGTGATGATCGCCATTTCGACGTCTTTCGTTAACGCGGATTAAAACGGCGTCCACTAACAAGAGGTGAAAATAAATACATATGAACGAAGTCACAGAAAATCTAGACCACTGGCATAATAAAGGATTGTCACGGTTTATTATGGACCACGATGTGGCTACTCGAAATTCTACCGATTGACCAACTCCAGATATCCCAGTACGACCTCAATACTGTTCCCCAATCTCCAATATATCAGAACACAACCGTTAAATGGGCATTGTTTTTGGGGTCAGAAGAAGAATGAATATAATTTACAGACAATGCATACATATACAGTCAGGACGACCGTGAATATTAACTAATAGGAAAGGACATGTGAAATGTCTGGAATCATGTGAAAACATACCATTTCACGTTCAAGATGAAATCAGACTCAACATAAATTGTGGGATATTTTCAAGAATATCCCAACACAGTTGATATTGAAAAATGTCAGTATGTAAAAAATTGTCGATGATTTTTGCAATGTAGATAAACTGGCTACAATTCATGTGAAATGGAAACGTTTATAAGAATATAAACTTAGTTAAATAGTTAAATTATGCATTAGTAGAGAATATTCGGATCATTGTACTAACTAGGGATTCCTGAAATAGTGCAGTTTACCGCAAGTAAAACTAGATGAGCACAAATGAACGTGTTACATTTGGAATTCATAATCAGTGGGCAATCGAATACAAAAGAATCATTAGTTCGTACGAATACTATAATCAGTTATTATAACTTTGAGCAAAATGTCGAGGAAATATTGACTACCGAACTCTTGGAATTTTGTATGTTTATGCTGTAAAAACTTGTCTTGGCCTCATCAAAACATGTGATATAGTCTGAACATTGTAGAAAAATCATTTGGTCAACTCATCACTTTTATGTGTTTAGGTATGAAGCATACATAATAAAGTAACTCAAAAACGAAATTATATTCTACACTTTAAATATCCACGATAAAAAAGTTATATTGGTATCGCTACTCATCAGTAAAAAAGTCACAAAATATAATCATGATGATGTCTCCAGGTTAATACGGTCAACACCCAGATCGATCGAAGTATATTGTCGTTTAGCTCCTCTTGAGTAATATATTCTAACAAAGAAGCAGAGCAAGACGGTGATATAGCAGGACGAATATTGAGGAAGTTAAACTCTCAGAACTGTTCTATCTGGAGTTATTGGTTATATTTTTTTTCTTTAATTATTACATACATGAACTTTATGTCATTCACATCAATAAGCATTTACTTTAGTAGCAGTGTCTGTTTCGGGAAAAAATGTTCTGAAGGTCTCTTCAAAGATTTTTATTTATTACAATTTTTATTCTTCTAATTTTTGGTTGGTTTCACTCAGATATATTATCATCAGTCATTTTTGTCTCGGCCCTTAAAAATCGACTTTGGTCAAGATCCACTTCGGTTAACGTTTGAAATGTTTTGTTTACATATACATTTTCGCCTCACTATTTGTGATGTTTAAATAAATCAATGACTTCTTAGTATTGATGACTGTTGTAATTTTGAATTCAAAAATACAATACATTCGTTCGGGCTCATCTAATACTTCTTGCATACATTGCGTTATTCCGGGGATTACTAGTTCATACTACAATTCAAATACTACTAATTATCATATTGGCGTCGCGACTGAGCCTGTGATGGAACGGTTAAATATAAATTCAAATTTTAATGTTTTTGAGGAGTACATGGAAAGGTTCGAAATCTGGGCTATGACCAAAGAAGATGATGATGATTTTAATATTGTGGCCCATTTCCTTACATTCATCGGGAAAGAAGCATACAGCCTTATAAAGATTTTGGCACTTCCAGACAAACCGATTTCACTCCCCTATGCAACTCTCAAGCAACTTCTGTTGGATCATGTAAAGTATACAAATTCCGAATGCGGTAAGAAAGGAAAATCCGATAAAATGACTCGTCAGAACATCAGGAATTCCACTTATTCAAACAGTCGTCGTAGTTCGATGCGTAATCAAATTTATTCAGATAATACTTCATTGAGTTGTGAAACAGTCCATGATGATGAGCACAAGTTTAGTAAATGCATGTTCTGCGGCAAGTTTCACCCATGTAATTCATGTATATTTCGTAATTCTAAATGCTTTAAATGTGGTATAACTGGGCATATTCAGTCAGTTTGTAATACCATGGTTCATTTCGCTGAAACTAATGCTAAGATGGATGCTTCTAATGATCAGTTATCTTTATCTAGAAGAGGTATAACGTTATATAACAGTCCAGAGTTGAATGAAACCCAGAGTCATTGGGAGGCGAAAATTCTCAACCAATCAACTTATCAGATTTCTCATGTTATTGTGCCAGATATGGTTTGTCGTAATAATTCACATACTTCTGATGTAATTTCTTACAACTCTGAGAATAGAATGTTAAATGAGTCAAATCATGATCAAAAACCAAATTCAGTCATGGTAGATGTTGAATTCCCTGATGATCCATTACCTAATGAAACTCTTAATCAATTTGAGGAAAATATTTCAGAAGAATCGAATTCTGATATCATATCAAGTGTCAGTGGTCCTCATAATGAATTTATCTCTAATGATATTCCTCATGAATGTGAAAAATATGTTTCTTATGAATTGAATTCTAGTCATATTTCTGATGTTATTGTGTCATATGTTGGATACTCTCACGAACAATGCATGTTGAATAGAATCCCTAGTCAGGGGTATAATGATACAGAGGGGATAGCAAAATTTTCCGAAGCAACCAGAGAACCAGTTTGCCCAGAAGTGAAGTTTGCACAGACAGAGAATCCGAATCAAGTCCA